AGCGATAGGACGAGAGGAAATGGCCTCAAGTTGCGCCAGGGGAGTTTAGATTGGATATTAGGAAAAATTCCTTCACCAAAAGCGTTGCCAAGCCTTGGAACAGGCTGCCCAGGGAATCGGTTGACTTACCATCCCTGGAGGTATTTAAAAGATGTGTAGGTGTGGTGCTTAGGGACATGGTTTAGTGGTGGACTTGGCAGTGCTAGGTTAACGGTTTGACTTGATGATCTTAGAGGTCTTTTCCAACCTAAATGATTCTATGATTCTATGATTTTGTCTGGTATTCTGGAAAAAAGCCGTATCTTTTAGATGTGTATGTGTTATGGGTAACACTGTGTTGTATTTCTTTCAGATACGAGACTTGGAAGCAGAAGTTTTCAGGCTAATGAAGCAAAATGGGAGCCAGGTTAACAATAACAACAACATTTTTGAAAGGCAGACATCTTTTGGAGAAGTTTCTAGAGGAGATCCAGTGGAAAATCTAGATACTAAACAAGTGTCCTGCCTGGATGGCTTAAGTCAAGGTTTGTTTGAACCAAACCATAACTCCTATTAATATGTATGTAAATAGCATGGTTATCATTTAGGATTTAAAAGAAACAATTAATAATGCAGAGATGATGTTATTTTTCTGAAATTCAGTATCTAATGACAGCTGTATCAGGGTTACACCAAATAATGCCAATATAGAGTCCCAGAATAGTTGTACCTTGTATATTCTTAAAGGAATGGAAGTGACTAAGTACTAATAAAGCAAAGATCATTATTGATTTCTTAAAGCTTTCAGTGGGATGCCATCAACATTTTGGTTTAATTCGATGCTTCTGTTATGTTAATAAAGTAGGAGAAAATTGTGTTTTCTCCTGTGTTCCTCAATCTGTCCTTAATTACCCAACCACCAAAGATCAAACAAGAACAAAGTTACCAGAATGAGAACAAAATTGTTAAATCTACCATTCTGAATGGATCTCTGCAGGTTCTGATCCCACCTTGGTACAGACATCAAAAGGAACCGTGTAGGTGGCACTCACCATTTTTCAGGATGGAGCCTTTTGTGAATAAAATGCAAATTCTTTACTAGCACATTAATTAAAAATCTTATTCAGCTATAGCACAGCCTGATTTACAACATTTACAACTTGTAAGACTTTGTTCTACATTACCAAAGAGCCAAAACAATTTGTGGCAACACTGAGATCTGGATAGATGCTGTCAGCATGGTGACTGTAACCTTTACTTGTTTTGTATAGAAAAGATAATTCCCATTTTTCAGGTTGTGTCAGTGAAAGTATACAGATAACTTCCACAGCTTTAGTTAAAGTTCTGTAATTGCAAGTGATTCCTGACTCTTGAAGTATATGCAGAATTAAAGCCAATTTTAGGTCCACAGCCTTGGAACAAAATTGTTTGGCACAGGAGCAATACTTACTGTGTATTTAGTAACATCTGTGAAATCAGGTGTCGGAGGTGTTGGGATTCTGACAAGGGAGCACCACACTCTGTTCCTATATAGATTTTCATTTTAAATGTACTAAAATCTCTGGTGAAAAAAAATGCATTACATTACCAAAGAAACTAATTTCTAGCAAGCACAGAGGTGTTTTATTAAAATTGGTATTTTAGTAGTTATTTCATTTGTGGACCCAAACTGAATATTGCTCTACAAACAAATCAATATGAATTAAATTTTTAACAAAGTGTGTGTATAAAAAAGAGCTAGTCCTGCTGAAGTAGGATGCTGATTTGGGTGATCTCAGACCTTGTGGAATTGGTTTCCAGAAATCTTCACAGAGCTGTTTCTTTCTGGCAAGTGTTTATTATACTGAAATCTCTGAAGTTCAGAAAAGCACTCGGGATGACAAGAAAGTCTGTATTTCTGCCATAGAGACTCAGTAAGTGTTACAAAATATTTACTACTTAGCAACGCTGTTAACAGAAACCCTTTCAGTAGTTTGCATCAAGAGAGGAAAGTGTGTTTTCTTCACCTGACTCACAAAAATCATGTTTACACTTACTGTTGTAACAATGTCAACACATATCCATGGCTCAAGAGCTGAAATCCAGGAATATCTCCATGTAAAAAAAAATTATTTGTAAAATTCTTTCTAAAAATTTGAAAATTCTTTATAAAACATTAAAACTCTGTGTGTCAGTACTTTCAGATTATATTTTTCAATTGATATAATTGCATGAAAATTTTCGTTTTCCAAGAGCTACCATTTTTCATTGTGCAAAAGCGTCCCCTGGAGAAACGTTACCAGTGTTCAGTACTTCTGAGAGTTAGAATAGACGATCTGTGAATTTAAATGCCCAAGTTTAACCACCTGAATACAAACACAAATTATTTGCTAGGAAAAATAGACAATCTGCAGTGATTTTTTGAAAGCAGAAAAAGTATAATTAGACCTTTGATTCCAGGCTGGGTTTGTGTTTTTAGCAAGAGAAAAAGAAAAGCCCTTTTTTAGAATAAAGAGATCCCCAAACATGCTGCAGCACTCTTTGACTTCCATATACCTTTGCCAGTAAATTCCATATCAAAGTCTCTGAAGTCTGTCTCAGTAATGTAGTGATACTTGCTCTGCAGAGAAAGAGCCTATGTCTCCATATCACCCTTGTGTAAACCTTTTAAGAAAAGGCCTTGCCATTGTCTAGTAATACTAATCACTAATAATTAGTGTATTTACTAATCACCCTGTGAATGTTTGCAGAGGAGCTATAAAGGGCGGGGGAGATGTCCACGACGTCTTTGGAGGGTGAGCAGAGTTCCTCCGGGTGCAATGTGTTGTGCATACTGTCTCTGTGACATCCATGGAAGTGCTCCTGTCTCTTTCCTGGATTTTATTTGGTGAATATAACACATGCTGCTTCTTGAGCCTCAGCATTAGGTTTGTGGAGTGGGACTGCATGTATGCAGCCACATCCCATAATTTTTATTCTGAAGTTTGCAGGTCTGTCTTCCCTCAAAAAATCAGGTTATGTAAAACTATATATTTTAATTAAAATGATGCTAAATATTTTTTTTTGCTTCAATGTGATCTGAGGTGTTTATTACATTCTTGCGTGGCAATAGATTTGGGAAGAACTAACGGATGCGACTTGATGGTCGCGTACATATGAGCATAGCTGTCCCTGCCACTGCAGGTGCTCTGGCTGTGTTTAGCATCATGCCAGACTGTATGACTCCTCAGGTTGTAACATAACCTCACACTGAGTTTGAGAGGCTGCTAGTAACATCAGTGGAAGTTAGAAAATCAAAACAAGTATGGCCCACAGAGTTCTTCCTTTGCTTTGCTGGGGAATACTAGAAGCCTGAGGATTGTGTTTCTTTTACAAATCTATGACTTATTCTTAGAGTACAGAAAAATAGATAAAGTGCATTGTAGCTTTCTGGTTTAGTGGTCATGAGCTATGTCTGCAGTAGAGAATCAAACTATTTACTGGAAGGAGTCAGTGGTTTGAAATCTAAACAGTTCAGTGCTGATGCCAACTTTGACAGTATTTGCTCATCTCTGTGCAAATGCCCATTCAAGCCGCTTTGATAGCTATACTTTCTGGGTGCCTTGAGATACCCAGGGATGCAACAGTTCACAGAAGGAGATTTTGAATCTGTCAGCCTGTATAATGGAAAAACAGTGGGAGGACAGGTGAACTCTTTCCTGCTCCACAGTGGTACTGAAATAATTCAGATGGAAGCCCATTGGAGTCAAGTGGTTTAACGCCTGCTGAAAGAAAGTCTAATTACATCGTCTCTGAGAGCAAAATAAAACCTGTTATGACTTTTATGTGAGAGATTTATCAGGCTTCCCAGTGGGTTGGGAGATTCCTAGACAAACACATGGGGGGTGTGTTTGTGCTGGGGAGCAGCGAGGGCTGGCGGCTCTCTGCAGAAGAGGGAGCCAGGACTGAGAGTGACAGCACGTGTGGCTGGGGCAGAGACCACCCGACAGCAGCCCAGTGTGGCGAGCAGGGCAGGTCCAGTGATGGAAACCGGGGTCAGCTGGGAGCCCGGGCAAGTTCATAGTGGTGAGGCAGGTCGGAGGGCAAGCTGGGAGGTCCGTCCGTGGGCTATGGCTCAGGTCCAGATCCACAGGGTGCATGGCCTGAGGGCAGGAGCCTAGCTTAAATGCAGCCTCTGACAAGGAAGGAGCCCTTACTGATGCTGTGTGAGCTCTTTGCAGCAGACTGAACCACGGTTAGGTACCTGCAGCGTACTATTGAGTGCAAGCAGCCCAGCTCTGGGGTGGAGGGAGCAGTAAGCTCCAGGCCCAGGTGGTATTTTGCTTAAACAAGGCCAATATGACCACCTAAGTGAATACGTTTGCAGTGCTATGTCAATAGTTTGCATAATTTCAGCAGTGAAAGGAAGGGATGTATGGAAGTGCCTACACCTGAAAAAATAAATATAAGCAGTTCAAGTCATGGCAATGTGCAGTTATCCTATCGAGTACTTATGGTGGAAGCATAATTACAAGTCAGACAATGCTAATGATTCTGTAGTGTCATCTGTATGTGGAGTTTAACTCTTGCACAAAGAAAACAAAACATGGTACTGGAAGTCTTTGTGGTGATTTAAGACAACATATATCTGCAAAAATAAAAATGAGTTTGAATGAGTCTTACCCCTCAGTTATTTACTGGCATACTAACTCAACATGTGGCTTTGATTTGATTCAAGAGGCAGTTTGAGCTGAACATTACAGATCATTACTGTTGAAATGGGAGACTCTACGCTATCCCTGTCTTTGTCCAGCCACCTGGTTCTGCCTCTTCCATTGCCCTGTTCCAGCACTCACACTTGTGTGCACACACTGATTCACTGAAACAACAGAAAACTGATCTAAGAGGAGAAGAGGTTGGAGTATCAGACTAAAATTGCATAGTTTCTTCTGGGTCAGTCATTTGAATCGGCAAGCTGCAGTCCAAATCCTGGGGCGGGGGGAGGGTGTCACTCAGACCAACGGGTTGGGACAGCAGGAAGGAGAGCAGGAGCTCTCCATTTTGGTGGTGGTGGTAAGTCACTGAGTCGGTTCTACCCTTGGGGAAATCACATTCTCTGAGACTGAAGGTCAGGATGTCATGGCAAGCAATGGGAAAAAATTCAGCTTTGCTCAAGTTGGTCAGAGTTTCTTCATTGGCTTCAGTGAGGCTAAGATGTCTCAGTTTATATTTGATTAAAGCAAAAATATCTGTAAGATCAGCTCTAATTAATTAGTGTGTTATGAATGCAGCACTTGGACAAGTAAATAAATCTAACGATTCTGGTTTGATTTGTACTATGAGGATTGCAAAAAACAAAAAAGTTAAAACCGTAAAGAATCTATTCCTTGTCTGGTGTAATATGCGAAAACACCTTTTAAAATGTGTTTTGTCTTACTGCAGCTTTGTAAAATGTTGAATTTGCTGAAATACTCAGATTTCGAGTGGATGATTGATAGCTAAGAAAAGTGCAGTTACGTTAGCTCTATTTGTAGAGGCAAGCCATATATGAAGTGTTTAGTATACTTTGCTCACAAGACATTCAGGAACAGGGTGGCTTTGAACCTAGGTAGGTAAGATGGTTTCATTGTTCCATTTTTTATATGAAATATTTCTCCAGTTTTCATGTATCACATAATGGTGTTTGGGCAGTAGATGAAGGGGGAAAGACCTGAAACTGCTTTCCCTTCAAAACCAAAGAAATGGGTTTTCATTATTTTTCCAGCAGGAAGTTTTATGTACAAAGACAACAGTGAGTAAGCATGAGAGTGACAGTGTCCAGCTCTTTTCTGATGGTATATAAAAATAATGCAGCCCTGGGGTTTTGGGGTTTTTTTCCATTTTGTTATTTTAAAGTACATATGGTAGAAGACAACATCTGCACAAACCCCAGATGTTCAGGAGATACAGCAACTTTGTAGAGTTAAGAAGTGGGAGAGTAGAGTACATCTCCCAGCTTTCACCCAGATCTTCTGGTGACTCTTTGTTGGGTTTTGTTGGGATAATTACTGCTGCCTTACTGCAAATCTCAGAGAGTTTTTGAACTGTTAGGTCAGGATAATGACAGATCTAACAGTCCATGTCTTGCTCCACGCAATATAGCCATTTTTCTAATCAGGGAGAACCAGAGCCCCTTTGCTCTTGTACAGATCATGGCCTTCCCATTCCTGCCTTGAACAGCTGTGATTCAGGGTGCCTTTCATGGACCTTCTGGGTGGATTAATTTAATTTCATTTTCACTGTCATGATAAACTTTATGCAACATCACTGACAGCTGGTTGCAGTGAAATTTTATTTCTGCACTCGTGGGTTCTTCCTGCAAAGGTGTAACACTACCTTGCTAATGATTTTGCCAAAATGTGTTGCTGTTGGAAAGCTGAAACCAGACAACCGCAGTAGATAGTGATAATCACAGTGATGATCACGTCCTCGAGACTCCTGCTTAAGGAGGGGGGCTTGGCAGTGTCTTCTGATGTGATCCAAGTGCAAGTGAGGCAAGGCTGTATTCATGTTAGGTCATTCATATCAATCTGTTTGTATGAGGGACCACGATGGTTGGTGCTGACAGAGATGTTTTACTGAAGTTTACGTGAGTTTATGTAAATTTTAAGAGTTTGAAGGAACTCTGAATAAAGGCGAGCAGAATCTACAAGAGGAGATAATGGTTCTGAGGACAGTGTGGCAAGGGAGGAAGTAACAAATGAGACCACCAGGTGCTAATAAAAAGATGCTTTTACTTGCAGAAGGATTGGGGTGAACAATTGGGGCACCTTATTTGTGTTGTCACATAGAACTTTGAACAACAGATGACCTCAGAATCCAGAGGAGGATTGGGATTCCTCTCTGCTGTCCCCTCCTGAGAGGGATAGTGTGATAGAGTAAGCAACCTGTTTCACTGTAGGGCCGAAGGAATGAGTTTAACACTTGTTCATAATCCTGTGAAAGGCTGCCTGTAAGGCAATCCAATCACAAATGGTTATCTGATTATTTGGATATTACCTGTATCACCCTCTGTGCACTACTGACTTCAGACATTGCTTGCTCATAATTTGCACATATTGTACAAGGTTATTTTGGGGGACATTCAGTACAGGAGAGAACAAGTCATGTTCTTTAAATATGTAAGCCATTCTGATTATGATAAAATGTAGAGCAGCCTGAGGACTGCTCTAGATATTTCTTCCATAATTCAATGAGCAGCCTGCAAAACTGGTGAAGTTGTAAGGGAAGTGTTTAGTGGGGCAGCTGTGGGAAAAAATGGCAGTCCAGTCCCTCCTCCTCAAGTGGTTTAAAAAGGGCAGGATTGGAGATAAATTAATTGGTCCCCTGGGTCTAAATTGGTATACTCAACCAGATGCTGGGAAATGCCTGTCAAAGAGCAGTGAGATGAGGATTCCTTTGCTTTATGCCCTGATGAAGGAGAACTCTCTGCAGGCCAAGCACATGCAAGTCCCTCTGATGGAGTCTAGGTGGACCTGCTTTCTGGGCTAGTACAGCTGGTTTTGTGTGATCCTTCACGTAACAGTGGGAATCATTTGTTGAATTTTTAAATATTTGCAGTTGATTGTTTGCTATGCACTTACGGGATCTGTATAGATAAACTTGCTAATGGTTTATGCAAATAACCTTTTTTTTTGCATGTGTACTTTAACAGTTATGAAGATACAGGTACAAGTAAAACCTGTGAAGTGCATGTACTCGCAATTGCAGGTCCTGTCTTAGGAAAAAGTAATGAAAGATTCTTGTGTTAAATAACTTCAAATCATGTTTCCACACAGATTTCAATGAAGCAGTGCCAGAAACGGAGAGACTGGACTCCAAAGCCCTGAAGACTCGAGCTCAGCTTTCAGTGAAGAACAAGCGGCAAAGGCCTTCTAGAACAAGGCTGTATGATAGCATCAGTTCAACTGATGGAGAGGACAGCCTTGAACGAAAGGTGAGAAGGACTCTACCCTCTCTTTCAGGCTTCCTATGGAGTGCTAGATTGCCCCTGTAAGTCATTTCGTACTCTGTCTTTGTCCTTTCATTGTAGCACAGGCAGTATTTATTCCTCTGTGGCCAGTATGCTATGAATGTCCTTGAGTGATGTGCGAGTCCGGTCTCCTTTGAGTCAGCACACCTGGTTTTTTTTGTTTTGTTGTGTTTTTTTTAACAAGAATCCTGGGCTTTCTGATTTATGTGTGCTTTGTAATGCAGAGTGGGTCCTTTCATTTATGCAGGAGGTGAAAGGAACTTGAATCGTGCGTTTCTCTATTTGCTAATTTGTTAACACAATTGATATGCTATTCACCCATTGTTTTGTCCTATCCTGACGTCCGTCTGAAAGCAAATACCAGTAAACGACACTGTGTGTGGTATCAAAAGGTAATGGCATGAATTGCTAAAGCGTTTCGTACAAATAGAAGGCTAAATAATGAATAAAAGAATTGCATGTTCAAAGTAAACCTTGCTCTGATTGGTTACTAAATGGTATAACCTGCTTTATAATCTCTTATACCAACAGCCGTCAAACAGTTACAGTAGTCCCATGCACATTTCAAAATCACCACTGCCCTTATGCATGAGAGCATCCTCACCAGCATCAGATTCTGGTGCTTCCTCCCTCTCCCCCGTGGCTAGCAGTGCAGCAATCTCACTTGACAACCTAACTGAAAACCAAGAAGAAGGACAGCACCACAAAGGAGGTGTCCTTTCCCCACATGCTCGGGGAGGCACTCCACTTTCCTCTCCTTCAAAATCTGGGCACAGCTCTGAAGCATCTCCTTTGCATCACCCAGCTGGCAGGAATATTTTACAGGATAAAGGTATTACTATTTTTTACAATAAGTTGACGCATCATTTTGCTCACTCACATCTACTTTATGAACTTTTGTTGTATAGTAGGACCTTAGCAACTAGAAGGCCATCATCTCATAACTTCTTTTGTATACCTGGAAGTCAAAAAATTACAAATGACCTTGTATGGTGGTATAAGAAAACGACAGAGTTTAAAATGAGATCAGGAACTGCTTCCTTTCTTTTTTTTTTCTTTCTTAGAACTCACTGAAAAAGCTGGGGGGAAGTTGCCTTTAAGAAAATCTTGTATTTTGTTTTAAAAAAACAAAATTAATGGACCTTGGGACATTTCTGTATTAGAAACATGCTTAACACAGTGTACTTATTTGAATTATGTGATTTTGGCACTGCTAGATGCTTTTTTGGAGGGTGGGGAAAGGAGTGTAAAGCAAGAATAACAGATTGTAGCTTTTAATTGCTGAGAGATGGCATAGTCTAGATTAAGCAAGAGGTTACTGTCTGGAGACTCTTCATTTACAGAAAAAAAAAATCAAGTAATTTGTTGGGGAGGTTGGCCACATTGTAATTTATTTAATTCAGGTTCTTTAAATGTAAACTGGATAAAACATAATGCCATCATACCTAGCTCAGGTACATGTCTCTGATACCAGTTTATTAAATGTATTAACAATACGATACGGCACAGAATAGTGAGCCCTCCTTTTCAGATGCCTTGTGAAGTCAAAATTAGCATTTTATACAACATCAGCATTCCTAGCTACGCACCTTGCATTCTTTAACTGTTACATAAGCTAAAATATGTGATAAAAATTGTTTGTACATGAGGACTGCGGGAATAGGTCTGGATAGGTTCAAAACAGACTTTGGCTTACTTAAATTAACTGAAAAGAACAATTTGTTGAGGATTTTTGTTTGTGTGTCTGAAAAGACTTGCCACTGATTTACAACCTATTTTTTCTTCATCTTCATACAGGGCTTTCACACAGATTCCTAAAAGACAGATTAATGAAATTTTGTTGAATTTAGGACAGGTTAATATGTACTAGCATTTTTACATGGGTTCTGAAATTGCTAATCTAACTGCCTAGTTTCTAATTGTATAATTGTTAATGAATCAAAGTTAAATTCAATATTTGAGTTTTGCAAGTAAAAATAAGGGTGTGAACATAAGAATGTGACTTTCCAAACTCGTACTTCAGCTTGAGTGTATGATTGGTTTATCAGTGAAGTCGTAAATCCTGCATTTCCAACTGATGTATGAAAAATATCTTGATAAAAATTTAGTGGAGACTAGCCTTGTAGTGTAAGGAATAGGGTATTATATTCCACCCACTGTGTCGCTCTTTCCAATTTAGGTTTGAAAAATAATCTCTGTCTAAATATTGGTGTCATGCTTTCCCCATTGTGACCGTTAAGTAAACAACCAGTGCTTTCGGGTGTATCCAGATTTTGATGAGTACATGAAAATTAAGTTTCAGAGCATTTTAGTTTCAAATGGAAAATTTGCATTCAGTGAGTCCTACAAAAAAGAAGTATCCTAAAGCAGTTGTTTGACAACAAATGTTGTAGCGATACAATTTTAATTGATTACTAATTTGGCTGTCAAACTCTTACAGGTCAGAAAATAAAAAGGGCCATTGTATTTGTTCTGTGTGCTTAGGCGGGGTTTTTTTAGAGATGGTAAGAGAGCACATCTGTGGACACGTGTGTGTCCGTTGATTAATCTCTCATTAGCAAAAGTAAGCATTAGCAAGCTCACACTTGTCTTTTTTTTTTTCTTACGAGATCCTGCAGTGTTGTGGGAAGAGCTGAAGTGGCATGAGATCAGTTTCATTGCAAAATGATGTGGAATTTTGCTTGTTCATCTTTTAAGCACAACTTCTTCATGTATGTGTATGATTAATTTATTTTCTTCAGTTCTGCCTGTTTTGTGCAACAGCAATCCTTTGACAAGGCATCTGAGGTGACCCCTAATGGGCAATACTCCACTGATGTGAGGCTGGCTGCAACTGTTTTGTGACCTTGGGGAAGAAAGTTAGGTCTATTCTCCTTCCACATCCATCAGCCACAGATTACTTACACCAACTCCTTGAGGCTGAAAGTGATGGATTAAACAGCTTCTGTGTGATTTATTCTGAGGAACCGTCTCTCCCTCACCCTCTCTGAACAAGTACAGGGAGTCAGGGAAGATGTACCCAGCCAGGGTGGTCAAAGTCTCCTCCTGCCGAGGCACGGCACCTGCAGCCCTGGTTCATGGCCACTGCCATGTGCCAAGCACTGCGTACCTCCATGTGTGCAAGACCCTGTCTATTCGAATCTACTCTGCCACTGAAGCTGGTTTTGGGACCTAGCCCATCCATCTTCCACTGTATCCCAGAGCCAGCATGAATGTTTTCCCCAGCAAATCGTCATTATTCAGAGGGCCCTGGCTGGGCCAAGCTGCATGTGAGTGGGAGCATAGTGATACAAGAGCCCAAACAGAAATTTGCCATACCAGGTAGCTGCTACATGTCCCTGCTGAGCTCTCCAGATTATTTCTTCTACAGCAGCAACACCTCCAGCTACTGAATGCTTTCATTATTTGCCCACCACAAAAGCAGTGTACCTTACAGTTTCATTTACTTTCATTAAGAAGTTTCTCCAAAAAGCCCACCACCCCTTGGCCCCCAAGCCCCACTTGCCTGTGAATAGCTAGTGTGAAAATAAACATTATGACTTTTATTCTTGAAAGTGGCAATTTTGACAGTGGTTAAATGATAATATACATTAAAGGTGAAAAAGGAACCATAAGAGGAGACAGGAGAGGAGCGTGCGCAGTGTAGGGTTGATGCAAAGCGTGCATTGCCTAAAGTTCTCCTTGGCCTCCCTTGGGAATGGATTTTTTCTCAGGAGACTTCGCCTTGCTTTTGTCACTCTTCATATTACTTTTTTTTTGTTTGCTTTTTTGGCATGAGGTTACTTGTCAGTTGTTCTTGAATGTTTTTTTTTAACATAAGGACTTGTGTTGGTAGAAAGAGTACAGCTTTTAGAGTGTGAGTATTGCAAGAGGCTTATTTTCCTGCTATTCCCAGGATTTATGAACCAGTTGCGCATTGAATTTTTTACTTGAATGAAAACTTGGCCAAATACTATCCACAAAGCAACGTACAAAGTTTTGTACACATAGTTGACTGTCCTGTAATAGTGCTGTGGTATTTTGGGTTAATTCTGAGGGCTTAATTTATGTCAGCTACAGTAGGAGAAATCCACAAACCCAGCAGTGCTTTCAGTTAAAAGCCACTGTACATCTGAGGTCACATTGTAAAAGTCACTAAACTGCAAGTGACATGAATGATTGACCTTCATTTACTTCCTCTAGAGTATTTGGGGACGCTCTTTAGGTTTAAGAATCACAGAAACTGTCTGAATTTTTCAACTGCTGTGTGTTTTCTTTTAGTTTCCATATGGATTTCACAGGATGTTTTGCAGACTCAGATTCATTGTTTTGGCTTTCTAGGTGCTGCAGGCTGTTTCCTCTTTAGGCTTTAACAGTGTTTGTAGAAGAGATCAAAACTTGGTAGACGTCTCAGGGCAAATTTATTAACTAAGCTACTTTTAATTCTTTTTTTTTTTAAATGCAGAATGGTTGGATTTCAAGTTAAATGTTTATTTTAACAAAGATGTTCAAGCTAAACAGATAACTATTGCCTAGCATGTCCATCATAAAAGGTACCCTTGGCTCCAAAGTTCAAGAAAGTATTTCAGGAGTCATTTTGGAAGTAAAGCATACATACCAAATGAATTCTGTAAAAGGAAACTTAAGCGGCTACTGCTGAGTTTAAAAATGGATTCACTGTATTGATTACCTGTAAATCTTTTGTGTTGTTCGACTTACTACATATTCAGTAAAACTCAACCAAAATTAACTTTTCATTTTCTTCAATTAAAATACGATTTCTTCATGTGTATTTTCAAATTCTAAAAGTATTTATTTTTATTCCTCTTCACACCATCTTCTTAAAAATGAGAAGAATTCACCTAATTAAATTGTGTACTCACACACTTGTACATGTACGCGTATCTAATTATGAAGATACACAAACTGTTCTGGATGGAAAATGGAATAGCTATCATCAGTAGCAATTAAAAATAATAATGCACATTCTTCCATGTACAAATGTATCCTAGATGGTGCCACATGTGCTCAGGCAGCAAGAACAACTAGCCCTACTATAGGGCATACAGAAAAACTAAAGCGAAAACTTGCAGATCTTGGGTAAGCATTTTGTTATTTAAAATACTTATTTTTTTCATTAAAAGGATTGAAAGTAAAATTTCAAAGATGTTTCCTGATGTTTTCTAATATTCTTGTAGGGCTCCCTTGAGAAGGAGTTCAAACAAGGGCAAGAAGCGGAAAGAGAAAGAAGCTATTAGGGTGACCTATGGCAGTAGGTATGGGTAAAAGATTGCGGATGCAAGAAATGATATGCCAGAAACATTGGAAAAACCTAATCATCCTAGCAAATGGGGACATTAACAGTCCTACTGACTTCATATAAATAAGTGTTAAGCTTTGAGATAACCTTCTGAGCTTACAAACCTAGATTTCTTAACTAATGAAAGACTGACATATAATGTAAAAATACTTGGAGGCTTATAATATCGTGGCATCACTACCACTGTTGCATCCACTAATGGATTTGCAGAAATAGGTTATCAGAGCTGGCCTACAAGATGCACACACAGTCACTTAATAACACCCGTTAACCAGAAATCTTGACACAATTCCACATATTTTTTTGAGAAAGCACCCAGAGTGAGGGTGGGCAGCAGCTGTTCGCTGCAGCTTCACAGCACCCACATCAGGAATGCTTTCAGAAGGGTTTGTTTCTGAAGATGAACATCATAAGTTGAAAATAGATAGGAAAAAAGCTGACTGCATTTGTCACATCACCAACTCTCAGGGAAGGAATTGTGAATTCCTTGTGAGATCTGATGAGACCACATCACCATCATCTGGACTCTGAATAAATAAATGAATGTTCAAAATGGCAGGAAGCAACCTTCTTTGCAAAACTAGTGTAGATTTTTACTGAAGGTCTTTCCTCTCATCCTGATGAGTCTGACAAGATCACAGCTACAGGGGGTGATACCTGGTTCCAGGTATGAAAGACAAGTTTATGTTAGGAGTGCTAAGCAAACTTAATACGTTCCAAAAGTCTAGAAAGGACATAGCAACTCAAAAACTCTGCACATAAAACAATGCAAAAGAAAACCTACATGATAAAAGAGCTATCGGAAGAAAGCAAACTTTGAATGGTACTCAGAAAATCATTGTGGTGGAAAACCAGTATGTAGCCGTTCGTGGAGTTTTGCTGACAGTCTAATATGGAGACACAGTGACAAGTATATTGTGTAGCTCCATAAAGTCAGAAAAGCAAAAGAAACCTTAGACTTTTGACTAACTCCCTCAGGCACACTGTGCTGAAGTGCAATGTTCTGTCTCAGCATACATTTGTACATTTGTATCCTGCAAATATCTGGCAGGATCTTCAGTGATCTTAGGCAGCAGTCGTCGCCTCTGCACGGGTGTCAGAAAACCTGTTCCAGTTGGCTCCACTGGTGTGTCTGCTCGCAGTGTGACCTGGAGTTAGTGATACTCACTGCTGGATTTCCCTAGTAACAGGGAGAGATTTGTCAAAGCAAATTCTCTGCACCTCTGTGTAGCTGTAAGGCAGCTAGTGCCCTTAGTAGGGTATTAAACATCACGTGGCATTTAAATGCCACAGGGTGGGAGAAATTAATGTATACTTGTTTGTAGGAACTTGGTAAGTTCGTTATACCAACGTAGTATGTTACAGACGTTTCTGAGATCCCATAGGTATCTTCCTTAGAGAAAGCAGATCTCAGCGTAGAGAGATCAGTTGCTTATTAGACCATTTGATAAATCAGTTATTTGTATTGTTTGTTAATATTTCTGAGTTTGGATACAGTTACTAAAAGCAAAGTTTAATACTGCTTTCAAACTCAAAATTCATAAGCATTTGTAATTCTCACTGTGCCTCTGTAAACTGGAATGTTATTATTTCAGTATAACTTTTTAAACACCGGTTGTCACTTCCTTTGTTACTAACTGCAAAGAATTTGCCTCGGAAGAAATGTAAGGATGTTTTCTCTACAGTCCAAAGCTGTATAAGCTCTTTGAAAGAAGGAAGATGATGATCAAAAGACAGCATCCTGTTATAATTATGCCGATTACAGCAACTGATTGATGTAGAATTAATCATGCTGTCAGGTGGATGTTGCATGCATTATTTTGCCATTGCCAAAAAATAGCGCTCAGGATGTGTAAATAAAATCCTGAATTATTTCCTAAGACTATCCCTGATGTTACATGTATAAAAAATTCCCCATTTAAGTAAGAAGCATATATTCCCCTGCCTGAAGCTAGGTGATTCGGGCAACATCATTTGCCTTTTCTTTCCACTTTCAAGCAAGATCAGAGGATGAGGGAGGAATACAGGACTGGGTCAGATACATCTACCTTTCTTTATGTAGCTAAAGGGAGGGAGGATTCTTCTTCTGCTTCCATGGGTGGGGGCCCTTTGACAACCTCAGTTTCATCCGTACAGAAAAGAGGCTTCACAATATACAAAGCTCTAGTGATCATGTTAATAATGATTTAGAAGCTGGCCAGAAGGTAGAAGTTGAAGGGAGATTTACATATGTGCAATTTATTGGTGGCTGCTAAGAGCAGTAGAAGTTTAATGCTCTGAACAGTAATATATATGTTGATGTAAATAATATGAGAATATGACATATGCGTAAGTTCTTTGAGGCAGACACTTCGCATAGTTATTTTTAAATTACATACTGTATTGTTGACATGATATGTTTAGCGAATAATTTAGGCATTTTATTTTATAACTGTTACCTTTGCCTTGGTCACATTATCCACTGCAATCTCTGTTACTACAAAGAGAGAAGCTGATAATATCACATAGGTGTTTATTTCATTTTCCTATATTAATATTTTTAATATTTAATAATGTTAAAATCAAGATAATCAGTATTTAGCTGTTGTAACAAAGGCACATCTCCATAGATGGATACAGACGCATCTGATTCATTCTGCCTGTGCTTGAAATCCAAGCCAGACCTTCTCTGGGAACCAGAGCCCGCTTGGGTTAGTGCTGAGTCTAATCTATTTAATCATGCTGAGATACCACTGGGGCTCAGAAATGCAGCAACACAACACGTGACTTCTTGACTGGAGCTGGTTCACATCCGAACAGCGGGAGTACAGGCGTTTTCAGCTGGTGTCTGTCTCCGTTTGTCGGGTGTATGTTGTCTAAGAGCTTGAGTTAGAAAAAGAATCAAAAGAACCCCCTTTTTTCTTTTGCTGAAAGAGAGATTTCAGGCATGCTCCTGCCAGCTGCGTGCCACTCAGTTCTTTAGTCACAGTTACAGGGAATGTCACTCTTTTTACAATTAACTGCCTCTGTAGCATTTTGTTTCTTATTTTATAATCTAACACATATTCCTGCTCCTTTCTTTTAAACAGGATTGCCAGAGAGATGCTGCAGAAATCAGCAAACACTAAATCTTTAGCAGAGCGATCCTCCTCTCTCCCACACTGTGTACCATTCATGTGGTACGGAGAGAGTGGCAAGGGATCCAATTCTTCTAGCAACCTGCCATCACCTGCCAGCTCAACTGAACCTTCCTCTGAAAATATAAGTCCAGCTAAAAAAGGGTCAAAGGTAGAAAATAAAAACTACCTTATTCCCACTGTGTTGAGTGGCATAATTGGCTACATGTTTCTGGAAAAAGAACAGGCCAATATGTGACTACTACAATAAACAGTGCATGGTGTTCATTGTACGGTAAAAGCTCATCCGAATAGAACATCTCTGTCATTGTACCATTCCACATTCTACCTTTTTACTCTGTCTTAATGTACATTAATTCAGTAAACTAACTGTGGTGTGCTGTACCGTAACAAAAGCAAGTGGTGCCAGTGGAAATTAGCATTTGGATCCACTGAACAAATGCTAGATTTGTGTATTCAATTTTAGATATTTTCTGCATTCTTCAGGACTGATTGTGGGAATACCTACCCATGTTAAATGAGGTGTTTGCAAGTGAAGAAATGCTGTATGCCGTCAGTCATCTGCCTTTTTTCCCCCAATAATGAAATCTGTTTGTCATGCATGCTGGATGTTGGATTTAATTCTCTATATGAAGATGCTTGAACTGTAAATATGAGCTATTGCAATTTAATACATCTGTGTGATTCCTTTCTATGTGCATGAATGTTTCAGCATGATAACTCCTTAAATAACCCTTAGTTACAGTAATATATTTAGCTTTATCATGTTTATTGTCACTTCTGGAAAATATTTCTCTGCCTATATCTTCTTATAACTTGTAGCAGTTGACTTTTTATATTGGTTTGGTAAAAAGACACAGATAATGGTTCTCAACTTTATGTACAGGAATATGAATCAGAAATCTAATTTCTCTGTCTTCTGCAAACACGTGCATGTACATAATAGCAGTTTCCACAGGCATTTCTTACTCTTTTGGTGCCAAAAGCTGGTGATACCTTACTTCTGCCATGCACCAAGCTATGCAAGGTCATAGCTGTGCTTGTGTTACCTGGTAGGGAGAGCAACACAAGGCTGACCAGTCCAAAACAGATTGATAGAGAAGACCACAGATGAAACCTCTGAAGATTAAAGAGAAACTATTTGGTTACCGGGTTTCTTTTGAAAAAGAAAGATGAGGATTAGACATGTAAATCCTATTTGTGCCTTTAAACAAACATTGTATAAAAATAATTTTCAAATGGGGAAAAAAGCACCCCTTTTTACAGTTAGGATTAGGTTGAGGTTGGGAGGGGGGGTGTCCTCCCATCATAGTTATTAGCAGGCCTTGGCTATCTTGTGTTTTTCCTATAGAAAATTAAATTTTAAAGGCTTAAATTCATTGTAAAGCTGAAGCTTGCACAAAATAGAGGTGAAAGAAAAATCAGAGTACTTAAAAAAGAAGATGTTCTTCACACAACAGGGGGTAGAGCTGTTGAACTCTTAGCCTAAGAACTCTGTGGGGGCTAAAAGTTTGCATATTAAGGAAGCTGCTCAGATTTTCTTCTGTATAAAGAGCTGGGAAAAGCAGAACAGGAATTCTAAATGTAGGTGTGAGAAAACTGATGACAAAAAGATTTCGATGTTCCCTGTAAAGTTTGCAAGCTCTTAAATTAACAGTTTCTATACTGCTATTCAGGTTTTTAAAGCACAGCGTGATACCAATATTTAGTTGGATTTCCAGCAAAACTAAGAGGACCAACACTTGATATTTTTGGAAGACTTCTTGTTTTCAGGAAGAATAGGTCAAATATCTTGGGGGGGGATAAAAGGATAACTTTTTTAGTGTTGTTTTTGGTTTTGATGTTTGGATCCATTTTTTTAAATTGAATATCAAAGGTGAATTGAATTTGATATTCGTTTAGATGTTAGATTAGAGATTAGAGGTCTCTGTATCATCAACTGTATATTCAAGTTAAATGGAATATCATGGTGTCCTTAATTTTTTATAGAATTTTTTTTTATGGTTCTCACTCTAATGTGAAATACTTGTTAATTTTTGTCTTCTTCTGATGATAATTTTGCTGTATTCCTGGAAAATATCAGCACGCTAGTGCTATTCTTTGCTGTAAGGTGTGATGTCTGTCATTGCATTGTTAAGAAAAAACAGGGTTTGTTTTATGGTTATTAGTTCAGTAAATAACATTCAATATCCAAAGATCTCTTTTACTTTCAATTTCAGTTTTTTCTAAAGGTATAGGCAAAGAGGGAGGATCCTTTCACTTTTCTGGGAGATTATTTGGGACTCAGAAATGGATTCACAGGATATTATTCTTGCTCTTTCAACAGCAGTTTCCATTTCTCTCTGCTAATTAATCCTCTGTCCTATTCTTTATGCTACTGCCTGTGCTACGCTTGTCCTAAGTATTTGGAGGACAGTAAAATGCTAGTGATTAACCCGCGGAAGCAGTAATTTAGCTCCAGGATGAGAGCCAGCATCTTAAGAGGGAATCTGGAAATTGCTTTCAGACCCCTTTGCTATTCATTGAGGCATTAAGCTGGCAAAGGTGTCTCTTGAAGTACACAGTGATAAAAATACTGTGTATTCTATAAATATTAACAATACTAAAAATTAGGCTTCATCATGTGTTTTGTAGCTGGTTTGGTAAGTGATTTAAATCACTCCTGAACTATGCCAACCTGGAAGACAGAAAGCAAATTTCCCTTTCGGATGCACATATGAGATTGTTTGTTCATTCTAACTCATCTTTTTCTCCACAGAATTTCACATTCAACGATGATTTCAGTCCCAGCAGCACAAGTTCAGCTGATTTGAGCGGTTTAGGAGCAGAACCTAAAACCCCAGGTTTCTCGCACTCCTTAGCACTGTCATCAGATGAGGTATGCTGATGAAATTGTTTAAGGTGGGAAATAGTTGTTTTCTTTCTCCCATGGCATTTTGCTTGATAATTACTCAAATAATAAAGGGATGGTTTTTAGGCAGTAGAATGGGAGAAGAAAATTAATCTTGGTTTCTAGATTATGATTTTTCTTGTTCATATACTAATGACTTGAAATAAAGGTCCTGTGGTATTATTGTAGGAAAGTAGAATGCAGTTGGTTTCCTAAGAGATGCTGTATCCTCACACATTCCAATACATTTTTCCTACATTCTGAATATGTACATGTGGACCCATAGATATATATACACATACACTAAACTAGACATAATTGAGACAATTTTGAGATAATAAACATACAGTATAGTTTGGTAAATATAGTTGAGATGTAAGGCACCTTCACCTAGACTAATTTTTACCCTGATACATTAAAGTAATAATGACCTGTACATGCAGTAATTGTGTGTTACTGTACCTGAATGTATGTGTATTGATTAGAACGCATATGTGTTAATCCACTTTGCATTCTTTGTGCTTGCTTTGCACAGTGGATTTGAATTCAGTTACTTCAAACCAGAGTTCTTTCGAACAGTGATAATGTGATAAAGCATTCCTAACCCTGTAAATGGGTGACATAATTGAGCTGAATATAATATATTGAAAATACTTTTCTTAAGATACTAGTTTTGTAACTCAGTTGTCAGTGAAGTTGCACAATTTGACAGTAGCTGACAACGTGTCCTGTGGACTCAGGAAACCTGTGCCTTTGTTCTTTTACAAACACTCTGTAAGAACTTCACATTTTTCATGCAAGGGTTGAGCCAGGGTTTTTTTCTAGAGAGGAGGAACTTGAAGTCTCTGTGTCTTATTTTTTTTATGACAATTAGGTTTGTTCTATTACTGCCTGCATGCTTTGCATGCGTTTAAAGAATGAGAGCTGTTCCGTGCAACCCCATTTGCCAAAATGCAAGTCTACAAACCCAGCCATTGTTTAGAGGTTACTTACTGCAGGTAATAAAGGGCAGAAATTTATAAGAGTCATAAGAGAGTGCAGGCAGGTCTGTATATTCTGTGAATTACTGAAAACAACAAAGTCATCATTTACGCTTTATTTAGTATTAATACTATCTTGATAATACATTTCATTCTCTTACCATGTTTCATTCCCCTTATATTATGTATTTTATTGTGACAATGCCCTGTTGCCAGTGGTATTGAATTAGAAGCTTGAAAATGCTTTTATTTTGCTTGTTCAGCTCTCTGTCACTTCTAAAATATCAAGCCTGAACAGGTCTATAAAAATGAATGTGTTTTCTCCATCCTCTGCCGTGTGCCAAATTGCAGCCTCTGAATCGGGCAGCGTGTTCAGCACGAGCTGCAGTGGAAACCTCCACAACCACCCTGGCAGGGGATTAGGCCAGCATTGCTCTTCAGCCTTTCATAGCGTATTGCTGCAAGCACTCCTTCGCTCAGGCTTCTCTGGCAGATCCGACATGATTATTTGAAGGAGATGAAAAAAATGAAAGGGTGGGGAAGGAACCCAGCTCTTGCAGTTTCTCGTCTAATTAAGGAGCTTTTGCTCTTGCAACTGGAGCCATCAGGAAGGTTCCCACCGGTTCTAGGGTGTCAAGACCAGGAACTCCAAGGGGGTTTCATTGACACAGAGTCAGGTTTAGCTGCCAAATCATGTGTGTGCTGAGCTTTCAACATAACCTCTCTGCTTCTGGAAATAATTTTTTTTAAAGAAATCTCTTTGGTTTTGAGTAGCCATATCTGTTTGCAAATCTTGGTGCTGCCCTTGCCTGAACTTTTTACGTGCTGTTACATGTTCTGTATTTTGTTTCTATAATGCTTTTCTTTCCCATTTCTTTGTTGCTCCCTCACTCAGAGCCTGGATATGATTGATGATGAGGTGAGATACTAGTGTGCTGTTGTGGTGAATTGTGTGACCATCGTGTGGCAACGTATCGTCTCATTTGCAGATTCACATTTCTTGTTTTACGGTGTTCTGTGGCAAACGCCCTGGTTTGAGCAGAACATGCAGGTGTCACTGGCCCCTCTCGCCTTGTCTTGAGTTCCCCTCTCCTTTCTGCTAAGAGTTTTCAAGGCCATAGCAAATTTCAGCTTTTGTGGTATGCTGGAAAGGGGAGGAGGGTCAAAGAAAATCCACCAGGCCAAGCATCAGCTGCACTGAGCTCCTGCTGGCGATAGGAGAAGGCAAAGATAGTGCTTAAACCATCTTTTCCCCAGCCCTGAGAACTGGACAGCCAGAAGTTGAGAGAGCTCCCAGCATCCTCTAACCCAGTGTAAAAGCTGCTCTAACAGCAGACAGCTGCTGCAGCCTGTAGCAGCTGCTTTGCTGACCACGGCTGGGACAGAGTAGCTTTTGTTTCAGACCCCACTGGCACATCCCTGGGTGGAATAAAGTGGCAGAGCAGGGACACGGGGCTGCTCCAGCAGCTGACGCCCCACCTGCCCCTCCTGGTGCTGTGTTTGTGCTCTCCTCCACAGCAGCGCAACATGATGAGAGCAGGGCTAGAGCTGTGGGATTGCTGTGTGTCTCTTGCCGCTCCTCTGTGTCATTTCATAGTCTTCCATAGATAGTATCAGTCTCACTGGCTGTTTGATGTCATCACTTTGAACTTTAGAGTGGTTTTCCGAGGTTCTTTTTTCCCTGAATTTCTTGTTTTATAGCTTAAACACATCATAAAGATCTGTGAATGAGCCCAGGAAGTGGAATGCAGAATTCATTGCAGCCTTTAGAAATGTTCTAATTTGAAGGATAAAAATCTTGCGAGGGAATGGGAGCACACCTGTTTTGAATTGTGGCACCTGGCCATTTCAGTCCCTGTTTGGGTTAAAAGGAATGCCAGTTCCTTTTTATTCTTCTGTTTATAGATAGAAGACTTTTTGGGTACCTTGTACCAGTTCTTAGATATCTGGTTAGATACAGATGTAGTATAGCAGTGTGAAATTGTTATTATTATAGTGTAAAGATAGTACAGATATCTCTGCTCTGATGCTGGTGGTTTGTACCAAAAAATGTTGTTACTCGTCCGTGTTACCCTTGTAATAATAATGCAGCATGTTTTTGTCACAGATCCTTGACGATGGACAGTCTCCTAAGCACAGTCAGTGTCAGAGTCGTGCTGTTCAGGAGTGGAGTGTGCAGCAGGTTTCCCACTGGTTAATGAGCCTGAACCTTGAACAGTATGTTTCTGAATTCAGTGCCCAAAACATTAATGGGGAGCATCTCCTTCAGCTGGATGGGAGCAAGCTCAAGGTAATTGACTGACTGGACTTCAAGACTAACTGTACTATTTGTTGTCACTTTAGGCAATCTTAAAGGAAGTAAGAATTTGGCCAGAAAGCAGTGAATCCCTGTGTGTGGAGTAGTGATAGACTAGAATAATAAACACAGAGTATAAAGCCACAGAAACAGTTTAAGAAATTGCCATATGCACTTGGATTCCGAAACTTCAGAAATAGAGGGCATTTGCATTGTGAAAACTCTGGGTGTATGTAACGTACCCATATTTGCATGCGTAAATCATATAGCAGCATGTATAAGTGGTATTTGCATGCACATATTTCTCATCCAGCTCTGTTTTGCGAAAGGGTGATTCAGAGAAGATAGTAAATAGACATACATCAGAAGTAGCAACTGAAAAATGGATTAGTGGGATACTGGAGGCATAAGCTGATACCAATTGTACTGTGTTAGAACTAAATATGTCGTTGATGTATAAAGTATGCATTGTTTCTTGTAGTGAAAATATGAGCCTACTTTTGTCAAAAATAATTACAGGAAGGAGTTGTGGGAAGCTCAGCAGATCTGAAAATCCAAGTTTGGTGTTTCCTTTCTGAATTTTTTTGCAGGCATTTCACTAACTCTAGGGGTTTTAGAAGAGAGCAAGTGAACTTTTGACTAAGGCATAGCAGTGAGAATTGGGAAGTCTTGTTCTGTGTAGACTTAGATGACTTCAGGCAAATAGTTTAATCTTTATTTGCCTCATTTGATCAATGAAATCAACATTGGCGGTGGCAATGAGATCTAATTCTTTAATATTCTAGAAGTGGAAGGCGTGGAAAGAAGTACAGATGTGTATTACACATCAGTAATGTATCTGAGTCTTTCTCAAATTTGCTTAATTGTTATAGTCTTCTACCTAAGAAGAGTTATTACTAGAATATGAAAAAAATTGTAATAGATTAAACCGTATGAAATTCTTTTTCTTTTTTAATTTTGTTTTCCCCACCTCAGGCTCTTGGTATGACATCTTCCCAGGACAGAGCAATCATTAAAAAAAAGCTAAAGGAAATGAAAGCATCCTTGGAGAAAGCTCGCAAAGCTCAAGAGAAAATGGAAAAGCAAAGGGAAAAGCTTCGGAAGAAGGAGCAAGAGCAACTGCAGAGGAAATCGAAGAAAACAGACAAGTCTTCAGCAGATGCAACAGAGGGCACTAATGAGCAGTGATAAGCAGAAGTGCTGCTGTGTTAGGAAAGTGGAGGCACTTCAAGGGAAGAGAAACTCATATCCACTCTGGTGCCCCTTCAGCTTTCTTGTATTCATTACACAAGAGTGTGTACAGAGAAATGGGGCTATACATAGAATGACTAGGGAAATTTATATTGTGTAGTTTTATTTTCCCGCATACCCAGTTCACGCTCGTTGTTGTTGCCATGTGAAACAACCCCAGCCCCTCGGTTTGTTTTGTTGTTGTTGACAGCTAACAGATTTCATATTTGTGTGGCGGTGTTTCCTTCCAAACTACTCTTCTCTATTGAGCTCTCTGTGTTTGGTCACTTCAGTAACCAGCATGATGCCGAGGAGCATGGTCCACTGCTTCACCTCTTCTGAATAGGATGGCCAGTCAAAATGATTGGTGAACGTTTCTTCAGCTGGGTAAAAGGAGTTGTGCTCTGTCTGATAAAAGTTGACCTAACTTTCTAACTGGAAGTTCAGCTTCTTTACGGTGTTTGGATACTCAGTTCCGTCTGCTGGAGTAAGTTTCATCTTGCGTCAGTACCTTGAAGCGACAGTACTCTGGAAACACAGCTGTTCAGTGACTTTTTATTATACACTGGAGATAAAGACAGGAGAGTCGATATTCCCCCTGGGCAAAAAAGACAGGAGGTGAAACTCTTTCTGTTAACTGTACAATAGTTAATCCAGGAAGGAGGCAAAGCCTTAACTGATTTTGTGGGTTTACACAGAAATCTGAGGATAACATTTATCCTTTAGATATCTGAGCAAGGATGAATTTCTAACTAGAGCACAGCGTATAGATCTGTATAAATTTCATTGTGCCCCCAGTGTGTAGGCAACTTTCTTATAGCACACTCCGCTTTCTTTTTCATGTGTTTTGAACAGGAAACCGGGCTTGTTTTGTTTTGGTTTTTTTCCAAGAAAAACACCACATCTTCAGATTCATTCCCCAACAAGCATTGGGAGAATAACCTTTGTGCTGTGCTGTTATGAAACTGTTGTTGAAAACGATTATCAAACTTGAGTCTGCTGAAGATTTTCAGTTTTTACAGAAGTGCACTTTAAGAAGAGGAAGACGAGGGATTCTGGTTAAAATTAAATTCAGTACATTGCTGTTAAGATCAATGCTGCCATGGAGGTGACAGTTACTAAATCCAAAGCTGCCATATATTAACTGTTTTGATCGATACATTTAAAGAATATCCCCACCAAAACCTGAATTTTTGGGCATAGGTTGTAGAATGTTTTGATGGCTTAGCAATGGCCCTATTACATCCTTCAGAGATTTCCTTTTTCCTGGTATATGAGGCCATCGGTGAAGCCTGCTGTGTAATTTTGACGATGACAGAAGCAGTGTATAGCTTGCACTGCATGGTGTTACTGCCTCTTAAGAGCGGTATTAAAATACTCGGTATTTCTTCAAAAGAATGGACAGACAACAGGCAAATATCCACAACAAGAGGCTAGAGGTATTAGCTTACTGCTTTGTAGTCAAAGCTAACTACGTAGCAGCATTTATAGTTGAGAAACGTCACTTCCCTTTCATGCATCCTGGAAGTTGCAGTCTTCGTCTAGTCATGCCAACCCATAAATTGTTTAAGATGTTGATGTGAAGTTGGAATCTTGAACTTAAAAATTTGCCAGCCTAAAAAATGCAAATATTGAATTCTTTTGAAGAAAATGTTTGTTTTAGTTTGGCTTGGCTTCTCTTCTGCTCTGTACTTCATGGCATTCAGATTTGTGTCTGTAAAGTTCTCTGAAGCTCAGATTTGAAACAGTTGGGGTGCAATGTTTATAGTTAAATTTCTTTTGATCTTAGTATTTTCTTTGACATGTAAAATGGTCTGTAAACTGAGAGAGCCTAGTTCATTCAAAATTAATACACAACAGATCTACTTAGCATTAGCTTTATTTTTCCTTCCAAATCCAATTTCTGCAAGTTTCTGATGTATATTTTATTCAGATCTAAAAATGAAATTGCCGTAAAAGGTACTTCCTGATATTTCTTGTGGTATTTTTCTTGAGATAGACCACCGGCAAAAAAATACACCTGCTAACAAGAATTCCACATTGCAGCAAATCTTTATGCGCTCTTTGTAGGAGAAAAATTATACAAATGTTTAACAGCCTCATAAAACTAGTATTCTGTTATTTAGGAGGTTGTCAGTTTATATTTGAGTAAGAGAAGTTATCTGGAAGAAACTGGAAATTTAATATTTTAAATACAATGTTGATAAATGCATTCGATGATTATTTTCTTTTTAAATTATGTTTACATTGTAGTAATGTTTAAGCGGTTGTATATAGTAATCTAAGGTGGTGTCCCTGTTTTATGTTCTTTGTTTTCTTAGAAACCTGAGCAGACTTGTTGGCATTATACATTGAGTTTTCATTCTTGCTGCTTAGAACAGTGCCTAGTTAATCTCTTCGTAAATCAGATTCTTATACTGCAGAACAACTAATTCAACTTAAGTCCTTTAAGTATGCAGGGGGGTTTTATTGCTTTGTGGTAATGTTATTTTGTTATTCTTGGACTCAAAAAACCCAACAAAACCCTAACTTAAAAAAACCTAGTAGCTTAAATTTAAAATAAAACCATAAAATGCATTTTGATCAACACATGAAAACTAAGCAAACCAAGCAATGTCAAGAGTTGTGCTCTTCTTTCTGTGATAAAAGAGATTTATGTGGTTCCTTTTATTAAGTATGGTAATTCATTGTCAGGACATGCAGAAATGTCACTGGATAACAGATGTAAAGCACAGTTTGAAACTTTTGTTACTGTTCTATAGGACCTTTAAAGTTGTGTTGCATTTTTTCCCCCTTGTATTGTCTAATGACATAGATGAAACAAAAGATATGGATGTCTCATCATTCTTAACTTAAACTTCCTGTAAACCAATGCTAAGTCAGACTAATGTGGGGTTTTGATGTAATAAGAAACAAATATTCCATGCTAAATGGCTGGAAAGACTTTCTCTTTTGGCTCACCTGCAAATGTAACTGTCATCTACTTTTGCATATTTATTTGTGGAGCTAAACCAATTTTGAGTATGCTGACTTGCCTGGCCACCTTTAAACTGCTGTGCAGGCAGTGTGGTGTTTCCACACCTCTAGCCGTGCGTCTCTGTCATCTTTACACCTAGGTGACCACAGCAGGCTGGTGAAGTTGACTTCTCCCTGGTTACGATGGTAGGCCAGTTCTGTAAACTCTAGGTCAGCTCATTGCTGCGATATTGCCAGGTTGTGAATCTGTTGAGCCTCTGAAAGGGTGAAGAAAGGAGAGTTAGCAAAAAATGGAACTCTGAAAAATAGAAAATCAAAGATACAACACTGCAGGTTACTTTAGTCCTAAAAAGCATAGTGTTTATACTGAGATTGTGGAGAGAGTGGTGGCTCCTTGCTCTGTCCAAGTCAGCCAAACATACAGACATTACTTGCTTCCAGCTCGTATTTTCCCGTGTGGTGGCGTGCTGCACCCCTGTGACTTCTGTGTTAAAACTCCCAATTCGGTTTCAATCTGCCCGGGCAGATCAGGACCAGGGCGTGAGGGAGGAGCCGAACCTGTTCATTGCAATGCATAGAGTATTGCCCACTGCTGTTTGCATTTCACCCACCACTCAGAGCAGGTCTGGTGGGGTGGCTGTAAGTGGAGCCTGTTCTAGATCATAGGTTGGAATTGCACAGTGGAACAGAAGCCAGTAATTAAAAAGCTGAACAGAGTTAGGTGATGTTTTGTATCTCAGTGTATACAAATGCTTTTGCATTTTTTTAACTTTTTAGAATTTTTTTGCAAAAGCATCTATTGTGCCATGACTCTAGTCTGCTGCAGGGATACCACAAGAATTGAGCTTTTACTAGAATTACTGAGCAGCTTTCCCCTGAAGCTTGCCAGTCCTCAGCTCTCATTGACATTCAGAGGTGCTTGACACTGAGCATCGGGGTTCCTCATACTTCATTGCTTCCATCAAAGCCTCCTGTCCTCCTGAGCTGCTCCACCTTCACCTCCTGGCTCACGTGCTGGCGAGTAAGAGGTGGGCAATGTTCTGTGATTTTTGAGAATGAATTGAGTTCCACTTTTAAGTCAGATAAAGAAATGCCACTCTTGTTAATAGTGCAGAATCCAGTTCTACAGTAGGAAGGAAGAGGATCGTCATTTAGTTGGGTACGACCAGGAAGTACCATTCCAGGTACCAACACAACACTGAAAATCAAAAGGAAAGGTTTGCACAGCTGTAGCTCTTTACAGCATCCGCACTGCAGTCTGTGCTGTTTCTCGGTACTGAAATTTGCAAGAATTAAGTCTTCTGTTGAGTTCTTAGCCGTGTGTTTACAGGGAGAAAATATTGTCAAGGCAAAAGTAAAACCTGATCTTGCTCCTTTTAGGTGTGGCCTCGTCCCCTGCACTATCATTAAACTAAGCGATAGAAGGGCTGGACCCTTTTAATACCACTTCCCTCATTGTGTGCTCTCTCTCACTTGAAAACCTCAGGAAACCTGTGTCGTGGTCCAAAACACTGAAAAAACAATTGTTTGAAAAAAGCAGCACATATTTAATTAAGTTGTAAGTCTTTAACAGTCAAAGTGGGCAGAGTGCACAGAGCAGTTAGATGGTTTTCATTTAGTTTTGTTAAATTAGTGATTGAAAATAATGAAGTCAATTAGTCTTTCTAAAAATGTTTAAGTGATTTGTGGCTTGATTCCCTCTTTAAAAAAATATGTATGGTTTTGTGTGTGTACATACATATGTACATACATGGATATTCATACAGATTTACGCTGCACTAGTAGCAGGCAGCACATAGGTAGCTGTGCGTTACAGGGCTGTAGGCACACAGTCTGCGCGGTAGGCAGAGGGCCCCGGGACTGTCTACAAGCTCGGAGGAGCAAAGCGCTACCCCTCGGTCTCACCGGCGTGCTCACCCCTGTCTGTGCTGGTAGCTTTGCTCGCTCTTTTCTTGTGGGGTTTTATGTATTTTGCAGATCGGAAGATTTTAAAGTTTTGTTAAAACCATATGCAGAATGGTCCGCTGCAGGTCCTTCTGCATGTTGTTCTCGGATTGGTTTTTTTGGGGTGGGAGGTTGGCAGGATTGATTTATTGGAGTGTCAGTATTCTAGGAAGGAAACCCTTTTTTATATTTTTAACCCTAACTTCGATTTCTATTGGAGCGCTTTCAGCAGCTCGTTTTTGAGCAGGATTATGAGTGACATCCGAGGTGACTTACCCACTCACCGCACTGGAGCGTGGGTCATCTGCAGATTGCACAGTCCCTTTTGTTAACCTCCCGTATGGATTTTACTGTACTTTTTCCACCTGTAAAACTGATTTTTCAAAGCTGTGACACCTTAGTCATGACATTGAGCCCTCCGATCCCTCATTATAAAATGAGCTTTCTGTTACTAACCGGCAGTACTAACTGGTACTTTTGCTGTCGGCATTAAGTAGTGATTTAAAAAACACGCATCTTACTGGAAGGTTTGGCGGTAGTGCCTTGAGCTGCCTGTTTCTTTGGGAAGTTTGCACTGTGTTAGGAACGGGCCGTAGGGTTTGTGAAACCTGGTCTGCTGAGTTAAGCAGGTTTCCTCGTCCAGAGCGGGGAGAGGTGAGGAGGGCTCGCAGCTCATGAGATCGGGTCCAACCCGCGTAACCCGGGAGCCTGAGCCTCCTGCCGGGTTTTCAGTGGGAGCTTTGTCACCGACACCAGTGGAAGCGGGTTCGGGCCCCGGTGCAGAAGCGTCTGAAGGCAAGGGGGATCCCAGGGCACCAGGCGTAAGGAGTAACCAGCCCATTTGGAGGTGGGGAGTGCAGAGTGAACCTCTTCTGACTCTATACTTCCCCATACACATTTACTGTATGAACAACTGCTTTCGTATTTTCCAGTCATGTTGCAATGGTAACTCACTGGCCACTGACAAGTGTTAGACATATTGCTAGAAGACCAGGCAGCTAAAAGACTAAAATGCACTGTGCTCACTGTAAAAATTGGCTTCTTACATTGTTTCTTTTTATATGGTTGAAGAGGTGGTTGCGCTTCAGATTTTTTCCTTTTTCTTTTCTTTTTTTTTAAAGAGGTCAAATGTATATGAAGTGCATGTTATCCTGAACTTTTTGTTTGTACATCTTGGTGTCAGATCATCTGCATGAAAGACACAGTAGTGCCATGTCTGAGCTTGTTCTCTTGTGCTTGGTTGATAGGACCTTCTCTAGATTGTTGAGTTTTCCCCAAAATAACTTTGGTTAATATTTAGTTATTGGGAGACATGAAAACAAAACATCATGGTGGCCCTTTGTTTTCTTACAGTTTAAATACAAACAACAAAGCCTTGTGGTTTAAAGTTAATTTGTTAGTGTAAATAAATTTCTTGCCAATGAGTATTATTGTTGTTAGACAACGAATGCAATAAAATGAGAAATCCTGAATCTTTATTAGAATTTGTATCGAGTCCTCACTTTCCTGCCCGTTTGTTGGTCATTCCAGAAGAAATACTAAATGGTGAGCACGACTGGACAGCTGTTGCTGCATGGGTCAGACTGGGCAGAGCAGGCGGGGACATGGACCTTGCCCTGCTTGTTCTTTCCTTCCTTCTGCTCAGTGCCAAAGATTATTTTAATCCCAGCTCTTGGCCAAATTGGCGTGATTCACAGGCCTCCGAGTGGATCTCATTTACAATCTGTAATTATGTAAAAAGTGAAAAAAAAACAGAGTAAGGAAAGAGAATGGCCTTTTTTCTTCATATGCAGATGAAATGCAGTGTGCAGTCTTTTGCTGCAGGTTGATGTAAAAATAGGCTGCCTTCACACTGCTGCTGGTCAATGTTTGTCTGTTTAAAAGACCTGGATTAGTTTTGGTATATAAAAACATTTTACCATTTTACACTCAAGTGTAGGTTAGTTATAATGGGCGTTTTATACATTCAAAGTACAGCAGTTCTTCTGCTGAACATGTTTAATATGTCTTTATTTTTATTTGATTTTAGTAAAGCATTAAACTGGGGAAAAGCGGAGGGCACAGACTGTCCAATTTGTGTAGTCATTTCAGTGGATTTACATCTGGCAGAATCTAGGCCAAATGCTCCGCACTTTTAATCTGTCTAACCCAGTCTGTTTCTCCCAGCGGCTGAATCGTAAATCTTACCTTCCACTAATATGGCCACCACCCGCAAGAAGATAAAAGAATCCTCAGTCCATAAAATTATTATCTTAATTAAAATAGGTATATTAAGAGGCTGTAAGTCCACGACTGACGTGTAAAATGTGTTTGCTCAGCAGCTTCCTGAGCCTGGAAGCATCTATACATATGCCCTTGTTGTTTGTGCAAGTTGTCTCAGATACCCGCAGTTTGGTTTCTGAAATGCCCAGAACTGCTCCAGACTCTACAGCTTGTAAAAGATGATGGGTTATCCCCTCCTCCGGGTTGCAAGCCCGGATTTTCCCTGTGCAGGTTACCTTGTAATTGGGAGGCCAGGCTTGAGGTGCATCTTCCTCCGCTGCTGTTTCTGCACTGAGGCTGCCAGTGGGTTTTATCAAGTGGTGATTTCATGCTGAGGGGTAGAAGCTGTACCCCAGCATTGCTTTCGCTGCAAAACGTGTGCTTGCTGTCTCTGTCCTGCCCAGCACCGCTTTAATGCATGGTGGCCCAGTGTCAATTCCCACCTCCGCACTGCGAGGCTGGGACACCCTTAGAGGAGGTTGGCAACAGGCTTCCATCCCTCCTTGCCTCAGGTTAAAATTCAAAATTTTTTTACTATTAGTAATAGCAGGTACTAAGTCCTACCTACGATCTCTGTCCTCTCAAACGCTTCAGGTAAAGATAAGGACCGTCGCTTGCACGTGCTTCTGTCTGCGGGCAGACCGCTGGGAAAACCGTCAGTACAGGAATAGTTTAAAAAAGAGAAAAAAAAAGCCAGTGACAAGTGAACACATTCTTTATTTTCTGAAAGGCCAAAACCAACAAAAATGTAGAAGTTTGACAAGATCCAACAACATGTAGATTTGCTCATCTGAAGATGTTCTAAGCTACTGGAAAACGTTAAATTAATGTTTTGATGGGTTACTTCTACCACTGCAGAGGGAGGTGCTGGCTGTTACACTTCTACAACACAGAGTAACTCCAGGACCAGCAGAGTGTCTGGTCGGTATTTCAGCTGTGTTGCTGCCACTCCTGCAAAATGTTTTGATGGGTTACTTCTACCACTGCAGAGGGAGGTGCTGGCTGTTACACTTCTACAACACAGAGTAACTCCAGGACCAGCAGAGTGTCTGGTCGGTATTTCAGCTGTGTTACTGCCACTCCTGCAAAACGCTAACTCTTTAGAAGACAGCACTTAATTTACTTGAGAACAAATAGTGGCACAAGCCTAAAATAATTATTTTAAAATGCTAGTGCAGGACGTTGATGGCTAATCACGAACAAGTTAATAGCCCAACCTCTCCGAGAACTTCCTTCAGAGCAGTTTTTTCTGCTTTCTGCCTGGGAACAATGTCTGTTCCTCAAGGCTGAAAATGGATTACAAGTTCCTGTAGGAAAGCATGCCACTTCCCAGGGAAGCTGAAAATGTCCTGCAGGGAGAGAAGTTGCTAAGGAAGGAGCGGCAAAGCCAGAGTTACGGTAAATTATGTTCTTGAGTGCTTGGTGCCATCAGCTGATGCCAAAGGCAAGTCCAGCAAAGGGATTCTTTAGAAGACAGCACTTAATTTACTTGAGAACAAATAGTGGCACAAGCCTAAAATAATTATTTTAAAATGCTAGTGCAGGACGTTGATGGCTAATCACGAACAAGTTAATAGCCCAACCTCTCCTTATTGTGAGAACTTCCTTCAGAGCAGTTTTTTCTGCTTGAGCTCTGGGAACAATGTCTGTTCCTCAAGGCTGAAAATGGATTACAAGTTCCTGTAGGAAAGCATGCCACTTCCCAGGGAAGCTGAAAATGTCCTGCAGGGAGAGAAGTTGCTAAGGAAGGAGCGGCAAAGCCAGAGTTACGGTAAATTATGTTCTTGAGTGCTTGGTGCCATCAGCTGATGCCAAAGGCAAGTCCAGCAAAGGGATGAGACAAAAGCTGACCTCGTTCGTTCAGGGCTGGCTCTGCTCTGTGGAAGGGCTGTCTACACACCATGGTTAGCAAAAGACTTGAAACTGTGATCTGAACAGATGAGTCCCTGTCACCAAAGCCTTTATAGGCAGACGGTAAACCCTGGGCAGTGCTCAAGTCCCCAGATCAACTGTGGGCATTTTGGAGAGGAGCTATGAACACAGTTTGTGCACAGACCTGCTAATGCAGGGCTGTGCCCAAGAGACAAGGTCAATTAGCCGCATGGTTAACCCTAAAGCTCAAGTCTCCCCCTCTAGCCATCGCTAGACCCCTGCAGCATGTGCTATTTGTATACAAAACATCACAAATACCAGCAACCGCTATTGCTATGCGGGGGTGAAAGAGTTGTCTGGCATGGCAGCAGCGGGAAGCTGCTAGCATCGGGAAGGGCACAGCAACCGAGCCAACATGCCATTGGCTCAGTTCTTAAACCTCGCACAATTTCTTGCGCCCAGGGACGTGCCACACACCACAGTGTCTGTGCCAGTGAGCCAGTGGCAGCACGGGGGCTCGGGGTGGAGCAGACGCTCTCCGGGGACGGGAAGTGATGTGGCAAGACCCACATCCCACTGCAGCTGTGCAGAGGAAGCGGGGAAGACAGTACGTCCCTCCCATACAGCAACGCAACCCCAGCCATGAGCCCTGGCACCGACTCCTTGCTCTGGTTAGAGCTGTCCCTTTCCCTCAGAGAAGGAGCAGTAACTCCTTTATACCAGTGGATGAAAGCCATTGGGCTTGTTTGTGTTAGAAACGAAAGGCGCAGGAGCCAAGAGGTGTCAGCACACACATTTGCTGTTCAGGGCAATTGCTCACCCAAACCGTAGCCCGCAGTAACGCCTCCTCTCAGCCAGAACGGCAAAACCCAAAGACAGATGATGCTTTGCACATACTATGGCTCCTGCCTCAGTGATCGGGCCGCTACAGAGCGGATTATTTGCTCTATCTTGTAGGCAGAAGCGCTCCTGTGTTTTCAAAGTACTGGACTTTCCATGTACTCTCCAGATTAGAGGGGGCTGTGGCTGGCAGTGAAACAGATTGCAGGAGGGAACAGCAGAGCCAGGATAGCAATTAGCACCTGGGGACTGGCTCTTCTCCTGAGCTCACGCTTCACAAGGAGCCTGCCTTTTTTCTCCACACAGTGGTGGAAGACCAGCAGTGAGGAAACGCTACCGCATCAGCTGAAGGATGCAGAGGGCATGGTGGCCCCCGGGCAGGTCTGTCTGGTGACACCATTCGGAGGGGCAGCCAAGCTGCTGAGAAGTGCCAGTGCAGGCAGGCGCAGGCAGCACAGCGGCAACCCCGGCAGGGGAGCCGCCACCAATAACACGGAGCCTTTAGCTGGATGTCAGCATCTCTCACAAAAACGGAGTGGCGATCAGAGGTGGGAACTCGGAGGACAAAAAGAGCAGCAGGAGCTGCTCTGTGAGTAAGGACATCTATACTAATGAAAGAAGAGCTCGCTCCACGGGCAGGAAACCAAGTGGTGGCTCAAACGGCCTTCTGCCAGACTGGCATCTTGCTGTGCACACTGGAAAGCACAAACTGATTTCCAGCTTCAAAGGACATTCAATTCAGATTATTGCAAGTGATTGCTAACTAACACCATTCTCAAAACACCAGCTGATGGAAACCTGGATAGGTTTTGTAGCAGTGCACGTTAGCAGTAACTGCCTCTGGATAAAGGTGAAGCAGGTGCCTGCTGCACAGAAGCACAGCGGGAATCGGCTCCATACAGACTGGAAGTTAAACACAGAACATGCATGACCAACACTCGGGGGTAGTCACTGTGGCAAAGCGGCCAGAAATGCTTCCTTTGCTGTGACAGACAGCAGTAATTTCTAATGCACATTTCACTGAAGGTGCTCGGGAGTTGTTTCCCACTCTTTAAGAAAAAAAGGCTTTTTTAAACTCCCTTTGGAAGACTCAGTAAGAAACCACTCCGAAGCGATGCCCTCCTCTTTTCTCAGTAGGATTAAGGCAAATTTATGAAACTGAAGTAACATTAGAAAATGGCTTAAAGGGGGAAGAGGGAAGAAATGAGATCGAAATAACATTTATTCTCCTTCCAGTCATCTCGGAAGCATTAGGGAAAGCCAACAGGAAGGTTCAGAAGAAGAACCCTTAGCACAGTCCCTGGGAAAGCCCAGGGGTCAGTCACAAGAAAGCACACCACACTGGTAGTTAGCAGTTCTCATTTATAAAATCAGTTTTCTCTGGGGAAAAAACACCAAACAGAAATCCAGTCACAACAGATAATTCGATGTCTGACAGCTTAGTCATTTGAAATCTGAATTTTAACTTCAAGGTTACCCTTTGTTACTGATATCGGGTCCTCCCCATTACACAAATAAACTAATTTCTCACCTTCAATTCCATTTCCTTTGCTATTGCGTAAAACTCTCACTTTGGAGAGGAAGGCTAAAATACATTTCCATGATTCTAGTCAACCTTTATTGGAACAGTCTTCTTGTTAGCAAATCTAGCAGAAACTAAGTGAGTTCCCAAGGAATTAAATCCTTTCCACTGCAGCAGATCTTACCCGCAATGAGCTATAGCTCACAGTAGAGAGCTCTGTGGAAGACTGTGCCAATGAGCAGTTTTCCCTTGTAGACGGATGCCACCGAGCTTCCCTGCAGCACAGAGCCGTTGTCGGCGTAGATGCGCATCACCGCAGGCTCCTCTGAGAGGATGTTCTGGATGCACAGGACCTGCCGGAGGAATGGGATACATCTGCTGAAACGGCTGCGGGTGAAAGTCCTTCACGGATGGAGGGAACATCAGTATGTTAACTTAAACAAATTAGTTAGGCTGATCAGCTGCTGGTAACTGCAACCAAGTGATTCCTGTGATAGGGTCACAATTTCTGCTTCAGTGAAGCACAGTCCCTGAAGACTGGTTATTTTTTTAAGTGGGTGTGCAATGGAAACTCCGCCTCAGTAAGTCATCCCCAGCACTAGGCATGTGCACAGTTTTTTCCAGCCTGAGTTACTTAGTATCTTCTTATTTTCATGCTTTTTCCAGACAGAGTAAACAACTGCCTAGTACCATAAATCTACTGCTATTGAACATGATAATTTTGAAAAGTGTCTTATGGGAAGCTTCAGACAAGGCTGAAATCAAACGGACGCCAACCAGCCACCTGCACTCGCAGCCACTAGCGCACTGATGCCAGTACCTCATTGATTTCAGAAGGAAAGAAGAATTACAGTGTCACCTACTGATGAACCACACTTGTACAGATAAATCATTCCAGTGGGAACGTTTCTGGTCATGCTTTGCACTCAGTCAATTATGTTTTTGTTTGGCAAAGAGGTGCTGGCTCGGTAATTAACACAGTTCATCAAAATCTGATTGCGTGGCCACAGGTGCACAGAAAGCAGCCCGATGAGTCCAGAATGACTGAGCTACTGGGTGGAAATTACTCAGTTGTCTCCTAAGGATCTGAATAGGTGTTTGTCAGTGAGTATACGCTGTTCAGGCTTTCCACTTGAGAGCAGAAGCTATAAGCTGGAAGCCAGCTCGGTCTTTGGTTTCACAAAGGCTGGCCAGGCTCTTCTCTACGTAATGCAGAGTTAAGTTATACCAGGGCGATTTGAACAGAGCAACTTTCTGGCACAGACATAGCCAAGAGACCAGTGACGTCTCCCAAAAGGCACCTCAGAGGCAGGCAGATTTTCAGGATCGTTGTAGAACAGCTTCATCCCATTGGGATGACATCCTATCCAGATGTCTCCAGTGTGAGGGTCAATAGACAAGTTGTCAACCAGAGTGTCCAGCTGCAGCGTCTATCCATCACAGAGGAAAAAGAAGAAAAAGAGAGAAGTTAAAGCAATCAGAAGTCCTGGAAGCAAACTATAAATATCAATAGACTTGTCCAAGACCCTCATCTGACATAACTGATTTTTTAAAAAATATTTTCTCCCCCAGTGCTGTTTTTCTTTTCCTCCAGTGTGCTTCATCCCCTCCTCTGTGCCGTGAGAAACCTCTTTGCTGCTCTGAGCTTCCCCCATCGGCTGCATTCACACCTACGCTCGTGTTGATTACTTCAGTGCTTTGTGGACTGACCCACACTGACTGAGGCAGACTTCCACTGTGGCTCTACAGCACGCCTGAGAACCCCTCTCTGGTTGCTGGTGTGAGGGTGGAAGACCTGAAGCTCTGTAACGGGGCGCACAGCACCTCTGCAAAACCATGGCAGGAGCCATCCAGACCAGAACTTCACGCATGATCAGGTTGAAATCTCAAGCATTCCTGGGGACTAATCTGTCCAAAAATCATATATGCCTCTTTTTTTGGAACAGCAGCACCTTACCTTCACATGGGTTAAATTCCAATTAGCATGTTTTTCCATAACATGGACATTATGATCAAATACATCTGCAACATAGATGTACCTTCAAAAGAAAGCACCTCTTAGCAATGTGTATGAGTAAGCAGACACCAAAAACAGTCCGTTCCCCCTGTGCAAGCCCAGCTCTTCCCAGGAGGAATGCCAGCTCGCAGTTCTCAGCAATAGACATTGCAAGCAGGCCACAGGGCACTGAATTGAATGAAGCCAACCTGCTGAGATGCTAATGTAGCTTCTACTCTGCCAGTTCTTCCATTACAACACTGAAGCAGGCCTTGGACCGTGAGATTGACAAATAGGCTTTTTTTTTAAGATCACCTGTCTACACTATGGGACTGGTTAATTCAGTCGTACAGACTTTAAGACTGTAGAGCATTCCCCGCTTGCGAAATCCTGCCCCGTTACTCCTTGCAAGCAATAAACACAAACTTCTGTATCGGCTGGTTAAAATGCAACAACCTTTGATCTTATTGCATATAAACTACCACACAAAGCAGCAAACATTGGCTCTAGTTAAAGACCGGGACACATGACTTCTGTTCTACAAACCTTCTGTATCGCTTACATTGTACAGGTAGCACCTTGCCTTACATGAGCCAGTTTAGACACTTGACCACAGAGGTACCGCATGTACAAATTAGGATTTCAGGATTCTTTTGTGTGATCAAACAAAACCTAAGGCAAGGAGAAACTTACTTTCTGTTGGGTGAAGTGTTAATTCCATTGGCTGAATAAAACCCAGCTGCTACTTCTTTAACTTCTTTTGGACTGTAGTAAACAACATTTGACCAAGTTAAACCCAAGAACATCTCCAAGAACATCAAGATGAAGTCGGAGAAGTAGTGGTCATTGGTAGCGTAGAAGCTGTCTGGTCCCATAGCTACTATATCATTCACACTAAAAAAATAAAAAGAGAGGGAGAAAGATAAATAAAGGAATGAAATGAGAGGTATGAAGGAGCATTGTAGGACTGCCCAGAATCCAGCCAGGACACGGTCATCCCATAGACATAAAGGGGCTGCAATTACAGATGGTACTTCAGATAGATACCGAATTATTTAGGCCCTTTTTACTTCTATTTTCTTTTACACGAGCCAGGATTGTGCAGTGCTGAGACCTGAACAGGACCATAGGGCATCAGCTAGGGACCTGGCTACCTGTCCATAAGTCCATGGAAATTTTTCTCTCTTTTGATTACATTCAACTGGAAACCAGAGAACATGTCGGAGTTGTGACAACTTTATCTCTCAGGCTCTGTTTATCTTACAATCATTTTGCAGTAGGATAGATCAAGAAAATTTTGTGCTTGCAACAAAAAAAAAAGAAAAAGCTAAAAGTATGTTTATTTTTACAGTGTAGCAAATTCAGAATAATAGAATATCTGAAGATTCATATCTGCGTTGACCTGAGAGTGGGTTACATGAGAGATGGACAAATGGATGCCAAGCTAATCCACTGGCATCAATCAAAGCAGCACTTAAGACCGATTTAGTGATACAACTATTAAAAATCTCATTTACAGAAGAGATGGGAGAAACACAGTTTTTGATTACACAGATAAGGAATCAATAAGAGAAACAGGAAAGCTGATTAAAGAGAAAATATCTCATGTTAATAATACCCTAAAACCAAAATCATCCTACTTTGCATTTTACCAAAGCAGCCTGTTCTTCTGGGGAAAGACGGTATTTGGCTCCAATACCTTGTCAGAAGGTCGTGTCGAATGGTTTTCAGGTGTACAAGAGAATTGTCATCTTCTAGAAATTTAAACAATTCTACTGTGCTCTTCTGGTGGGGGTGGTTCACAACAAAGAGGTACACGGTGTTGTCTTAAAAAAGAAATGGAAACAGCTGAATTCTCTGCAACAGTTTGCGTGGCTGAGCACCCACAGCTCTGAAGCAGCCCCTAGTACAGAGTACATGTTGGGTTTGGTGCATTTGTCTCACGGCTCTTCAGAGACAGAAGGACGAGTACCAAAGTAATGCAGGGTGCCACTGCAACTGGATCCAGATCTCCAGCTACTCTTCTCCAGGGCTCGCTCTACAGGGAACTGCTGTATAAACTACATTTTTGCTATTTCTACCAAGGAAGAAAGAAATCATGGCTTCATTCTTGTGCCCAAGCCACTGGGTTTTGCAATCTGATGTGCTATAGTGACTGGTTGCGTGAAATAGCCACAGCCCACTGGGAAGGAGGGCTTGTAGCCCAGCCAGTTTGGGCACTTTGGTTTATTTACCGCATCCCCTGAGAAAGCTGAAGGAGCATCCTTCTGTTCTCTGTGTAAGGCTGCAGTCCTTCTTCCCACCCCTTCTGGTGAGACCCTGAATTAGCCACCACTGATTTCTCCAACACCTTCCCTTAAAGGGTGACTGTATGGGTACGCAGGTCAAGCTGCAGCAGTGGTTCTCTTTCTCTTAATATTTGCAGACTTTTAATCGCCCTGCTAAAATCCCCAGTGAAAGGACAGGGAAAAAGAGGCAGGAGGGCATGAAGGGCATTTTATTGGTAGGCAGTGGTTCTCTTTCTCTTAATATTTGCAGACTTTTAATCGCCCTGCTAAAATCCCCAGTGAAAGGACAGGGAAAAAGAGAGGCAGGAGAGCATGAAGGGCATTTTATTGGTAGTCAGAGCCTGACATAGGAGAACATGTCTTGGAGAGGAGAACATGGCTTGGCCACACAATACCAGAGATTTTGGTAATTTACAGAGATTTGATAATTTACTGTTTAGCCACAAAAGTCTCCATTCTGGTCAGTCAGTGAAGCATGAGTCTCCTCAAAACCCTTGACCCGAGGGTGAGACATGTAAATTGGTAAAATGAACTTTGTGTGGTTTTCAACTCCTCAAACTTTTCCCATGTTTTCTTTCCTTTCAATATATAGGACATCCTTCTGTCTCAGACAGCCTGAGATTATGTGCAAAGGTGTTTGCTTTAGCAGCTGACATTTAGAAAAGAGCCCCAAAAATATAAAAAGCCTGAAAACCTTTTTCTCTCCCAGCAAGCGCAGGCTATTGGGTGTGCAATGCAAGGCTGCAAAGGGATTTCTGTTTGTGCTCTTTAGGCTGAGATTTGCCACCACCTCGAGTTAAAGATCTCTTTACCTCTGTCTACATAGGTGCTGATTCCATGAGGGTTAAACGATGCCAGATCAAACCCTCGGCTGATTCTCAGTTCCACTGCTCTGGGATTGTCTTCATTCAAATCCATCAAAAATATTTCACCTGCCTTGTCTGGTGCAAGGCTCTTTATTCCTGGATATTTCAAGCCCTGTAAAATCAAAACATAAGAAAATAATTCCTGGATAAAAGGTAAAGGGCAGCATCACAGGGCTGAAAACGCTGGAGCCTTGTTCGGACTTGCAAGCACACATCAGGATGTCCCTCTGCTTCAGCCCGCCATGCCACGATGGAGGTAGAGGGACCAGCTCTGCTCTCCCTGGTGAGCCCTTAATTGCAGTGCAGAGGGAGCAAGCTGCGTGGAGGGCACGAGGAGCCATGCCCAAGGCACTACCTACCACCCGGGCAGTGGCACCACCGCCACCCACTGCAGCCACCACCTGGGTGGGTGCTCCCTGTATGTCAAACCACTCTGCAAACAGACACGCCGGGGGGAACAAACTGGAAGTACGGCACCACCGAATGCATCCAACGTGGTAAAGCCACGGGGAACAGCAGCAGTGCGACGGCTCACAACTTCTGGCATGAATTTTGCAATGTTATCATTCCCTGGGTGTCCCTGGAGCACGTAGGTGAAAACCAGCTTTTGTTTTAGAAAATAATGACTAGCCATCCTGATTACAAAGAAAAGCCTGAAAACCTATGTCCTAAAAGCTTAAAAAAAAATCAGGAACAACAAAATCAACACACAAAATATGACTTTTTTTTTAAAGGTAGGCAATTAACACACCTTCTTAACAAAGGAGAGGTTTGACATTTCAACATTTCAAGGAAATAGCATGAAAGAAATTCAAGGTTATGTGGGCAGATAAGCTAGTGCAATAGGATACATGTGTCAGAGCCACCACCACCACTTCAGCGTCAAGAAGTGCACTTGCTCAAGCAGAAGGAAACGCTGGCTATTCTTACAGACCAGCCAGCCTTGTAGGAAAAAAGAGTCCATCCTGCAATTTTCACCTATGGCTTCTGTAGAAAACAGAGCCAGCCAGCCTTGTAGGAAAAAAGAGTCCATCCTGCAATTTTCACCTATGGCTTCTGTAGATAAGGAAGCAGGCAAGCCCCTGCATGGGGAGGGGGCGTGGGCACTTACGGAGCTGATGAAAGCCAGTCCATTGGGAAGTATGTCAATGTCTTCTGAACCAGTTTCTGCAAGACAGAGATGAACAGGGTTTTTCAGATGACGTTAAATATTTCCCATCGAAAAACCTCCTTTTTAGTACAATTCCAGCTCTCATGAATGTCCCTTTCTGATATGACTGCACAAGTGATGAAGTTCAGCGGAAAAATTTGCATCGCATTAAAAGTGGTAGCAGAAGGCAGCAGCACACCAGGTTAGGAAATAGTACTGGGGTTCACCTCTTTCAGGGGGCTTAGGGGTGCCCCCACGGTGGCCGGGCAGTCTCCTGCCCAGCTTTGTGTGCCCCAGGGTGGCGTGGGATGAATCACCCGCTTTTGACAATAGTGTTCTGCAGCAAGCAATTAGCGCAGACAACGAGATTTTCAGGGCAGGACCATACCCATCACTCAGCGCGCACGCTTGCATAAGGCAGTTCTGGGAATTGTGCACACTAACTGTCCTGGTTCAGCTGGGACACTTCACTAAAATGGATTGCCAAATATTTAGTTAAAGCTCTCAAGAGACAGAGAACCTACTACATCTTTAACAGTTAAGGGCTTTAATAGTTAGACCACACTTTTAACTGTGGGTAATCATTTCCTATATTGCCAGTTCCTGTAGTTCCTGTAATATTTTTCCCTGCTAGGAAAATAAAATAAAATAAAATAATAAAATAAAATAAAATCCCTTTAGTAAGAACACTAGAGCAATTTTAGGCTTTGATCAAGCACTCTCCACAGAGCTTTTAGTCCGATGCTGAAGCATGTTTGCCATCCCACATTCTCACCGCTCCCCTGAGAAGCCTCCCCTCTCTTCTCCAAATCACCAGCACAAACAGCATTCCCCACAAGCCACTTTCCAGATGATGGCTGGATTAAACCCACCCGGGAGCATTTGCTTAAAGGAAGAAATTGTTCTGCAGGTTTTCTTTAACAGAGCCACCAACACAAAGGTTTTCCACCCAGCTTGTCCCATCTCTCTGCACCCACTCCTGCTTGGCGTAGACCACCCGTGTGACTCCACGTGGGTCACACCATCCCTGGCACCTCAGCACCTCCTCCCGAGGAAGCGCCTGCAAATTCGAGCTGGGTTTATTGTTTGCTTTTATGTAACTCCTATTTATCCTGGCACTAATTCATCCGGGCTATAATTTACCCTGGGGCCACCAAACAGCCCTTGTGGGGAGGAACCAGATCCCCAAATTCACCCGTCCAGGCAAGTTCCTCCCCAGCTCAGCCCAGGGGAGACGGGGTGGCACAACTTCCCCCAGAGGGAAAGGGGGCAGGGCCAGGGCCAGCTCCTCCTCAGCCTCAGCAAGCCCCTGCTCCACCCCATTACACTAATGAGCAGAGCATCCCTGCCTTCTGAGGAGCAAAAGGTCTGAAGACGCATTTTGGGGAGAGCCAGCCCGTTACCCCACCTCCTGGGTTTTGTTCTGAATTTCGACAGTGTTCAGGCAGGAGGCAGACATCTGCACTGATGTGCCCAGAAACATTTAGAGCCTGTGTTTTCCAACTAAAATTTTGAATTTGGATTTTTCAGCTTGGCTCACGCCTTGGTTTAAGCAAGAAGCTCCTTGGTCTCTCCAAGTCTGGGTTCATTTGTAAAATGGGGTTAGCAGCGATTCCCCACTTCCCGGGATTGCTGCATAGATAACATAAATAAATGCGGAGAGGCTCAATTACCATGGTGATGTGAGCTGGACAGACAGCTTTTGCTAGCAGAGCATGCTGGCGAGTGAACAAACAGAGATATAATCATTTATCGCTACTGAATTAGCGAGGCTGCCAAGCAGAAAGATGAGCAGGCTAATTGGGAGTGGATAATTAAAAAGTACAAGTTTCTGGTGGAAGGAGCATAATGAGAGCCCTGCACGCAACTACTTTGAAAGAAACTGCCCAGCAAAGCACATTTTGGCCACTTCTCAGCCAGGTCCTGATACGTGTGGAAGAGAGTGAGCACTGTTGGAAGAGCAGTGAAATGCTGATTCAGCGTGATCCTGCTGAGCCGGCACCACCGAGGCAACGAGGAGGGGATGGAGACACACAGCCGGATGCAGGGAAGCTCCCGGGCTCTCCTGAGAGACCCCGTTTTATGAGGGCTCTGTGCTGTTGTCACAGGCACCGTATGGGACAGGACAGTTAGGAACTGATTTATTAGGGATCAGTTACCTCCACTACATTGCTTAATTGTATCACCGAGCCCAGCTTGTCCATGGGATTATCTGAATAAGTAGCATTTTAAAAAAAATCAAAGATACCAAGAAAAATTACTGTCTACCCTAAAAAAGTTATATTTTTTGTTCTTTATTTTATCTTAGTATGATGTATCCCGCAGATGCATCCAACACAAAAAAAAAACCCACCTGGATTTCATGTCCAAAAGCAAGTGACTATTTCGCCTGTATCCCATGAATTGTTCCAAGATGCGAGTATTTCTAGCAATTTCTATAGTAGCTTCTTGAACTTCAGGAATTAGTTCAGGACATATGGTTAGTTTATTATAAACTAGTAACGTGATTAGACACTCATATAATTCAGAAGATACTGTTTATTCTACAAATATAACCTTTCCTACATATCTGTGAATGAGGTTTAGGACAAGCTGCAGGTTTTTATTGGTTTGTTCAATGTTTGCGTCTGTGCTTACATTGCACAATATTTGAAAAGCAGAATAGATCAAAGTCTTAAAAAAAAGAGAGAGACACAGAAAGGATGAAATTGTGCAGAAAGAAAAGGGTCCACTAGAGAATTTTTCCATTTACTCTGAGTTTGCTTCCTTTACTACGGGTGCATCGCTTTTAACGTCATTACAATAGACTGTACCAGATGCCTGTTCTTCTATGTACAGAATGGATAGTTCAAGATTATTTTGTTTAGAGCTGATCCAGCTCACTACCTATGTCCCACTTAAGAGGTCAGAAGGACTGTTTTAAAGATTAAAATAGACAGATTGTTTATTCAACTTTACCATAGCATTTTAAAGGAAAAAGGCCCAGGAGGACGAAGATATCCATGTAGAATGAAATCCTTACACAAAGTCACCCACAGGAGCAACCTTACAGATCTGAGTACAGCAAAACCCCTGGTCTGAATAGTGCTACCTAGGCAGCATCTAGACGTTAGGGCTCCTTGGTCTCTCTGAGTAATATAACCCCCCCAGTCATATTAAATTAATTTTGGAAGACATTTGCGTGAACATGCCAACTATTAAGTTTGCACAAATCCTTTGTTATTTCTCTTTCTGCTACATCGGACCTGCTGAATTAATTTTTGGCATTTTAATTTTTCTAAAGTGCAGCAAACGAAGGGACAGTGTTACGGGAGCACAGCGAGAAGCAGAAATGAAGCTCTGTAAAGTGATCCACCGCCGCCTCTGAGCAGAGGCGGGTTCTCAGAATTCACCTAATCTCCATGTAAATGTCAGGCACCAAAAATGAGATATCATTTGGAAATGAAACGCAACTGTATTTGCCCCCCCACCGGCGGAGACGGGTTCTCAGAATTCACCTAATCTCCATGTAAATGTCAGGCACCAAAAATGAGATATCATTTGGAAATGAAACGCAACTGTATTTGCAATTTCCAGCTTTCCTTCTTTCCTCAACAGAGCAATCATGTTGCAAAAAGCCTTAGTGATGTGCTTAAAAGAATTACTCAGTAATTATTTTTATATGAATCACCATCAAACAAGCATTACTGAGAGTCTTGTATGAGTAAATTACAGCTCTGTCTAGAAGACCTGGAAATGCAATTTCTTCTGCACATAACCTCAGGCAAAGGAACTCTGCACATGCTCATTCATGGCAGTAATTTGACTTTACAAAGATGTTTGATTCCTGACACAGGGAAGAAGCAAGATTTATGAAATCAACACAGTGACTCAGCAAGCTCAAAGGCAAGGCTCTTAAGCTCATCCAATGACTTTTTACGCATGCAAAATCCAGGCAAATTTCAACAGAATTCAAGGCATTTCTGAAAATACTAAGGAGAAAACTCCCAGCCATTAAGCCTGTATTAAGTTTAAAAATTATAATTTGGGGGAAAGGGAGACACAAAAAAGCGATCAATTTTAAAGCTCTCCTTTTTATGCTCTGGTTATCCTAAAGGGAGAGTAAAAACAAGACAGCAACATTGCCATGTGCTAAACACATGACCCAAAGTACAAAGTCAACATTTCAGCCACTCTGTTAAACCTCTTCGCAAACCAGACTAGGATGACAAATATGACCCCTTGCTCTTTGAAACCACACAGCCGAATTGCGCAACCGCACCGAGCTCCTGCCTGCGCGGTTACCAGCCCGCTTGTAAATCTCCGCAAAATGAAGCGCTAAGGCAGGCCATCCCGGCTGGCATTTAGCAGCCGCTCCTTCGCCACATGCCTGTGGCCTTCTCCCAAAGCTTCCACCCTTGCAGCACATCCTGTCTTCAAGGTGACAGGTACCTACAGCTGACAGCCACCTGTAGGTACCCGCCTGCAGAGCCAGCACACCCTCGTCTAAAAGCCAAATAATTACCTAAGTGGCTGAGCAAAGGAGGAGTGTTTGCAAGTTAGTCGTTTTCAAGAAAAGGAACAGAAACATTAAATACTAAAGGCAAAAAGTGTTATACCAAACTAGCTAGTTTTTCAGTATAATTTTCTTCCTGCGGCTTCTCCCTACCTCAAAGTCCAAGTAACATATGAAAGTCAAATTAGCACTTTGTTTTCAGGATCAGGCTTGGAAGCTGGCTTTAAGAAGCAGTTTCAAAATAAGGCTGAACAAAAGCAATACTCTCAGTTATTTTGAGCACGTACCGATCCCTTTAATGAGCCGGCAGTTTGGGAGGGTTACTGGGGCTATTTCCCGTGAAGCATTCAGTCTGTTCCTGCAAGAGGAAAGAAGAGGGTTAACAACACACAGCCAGTTTTAAAACAGGTAACATTCCTAGCGTAGCTTTATCTTAGTTTTATTGTCTGCCATATCGCAGTAACAAATCAGCCGTAAAATACTGAATAAGCAAAACCCAGAACTGACAACAGCAATTGCTCCAAATCACTGCGATGGTTACACACATCCAGGGATTAAGTGATCCTCCTACACTGAATGTCTTCAGGAACCTGACTTTGTTCATGAGCTTCAGGAACAAGCTTTCATGACCCACCACAGCTCAAACAATAAAATAACATAGCCACACTTTCTTCAGGTTTCAGCCACTTAAATATAGTAGCACCCCACAGTTAGGACCAGCATTTCAGATGAGGAAAGGGCGACCTTCTGCTCCAACCCACTGGCTATTTTTGGTGACCAGGCCACCAGCAGTTGCACTTTCTTCATTTCTTAGTCCGCATTCAAAAGTAGCGATGGCATTGTTGCAAGGCAGGACCACCCACTTCCTAATGACAAGCAGGGCTGGGTAGTACAATTTTCCTGTCCCTTCCTCTTCTCTCCTGCTACCCACCGAGAGCATTATCCTTCAGTAGTGCTTATTTCATTCCTGATTACCTACAAAATCCGATCTCTAGCTCACGCTTTACTGGACAAGCAGATACGGACAGGCACCTACCTACACACGAGTTTCTATTTCTCCATCTCCTCCATTCCAAGTTGTCTACAAGTCTTTATGAAAGGCACCTCACTACCAGGACTGCTGTGTTTGACCACGGTAGTCGGCAGTGCCATAAGCAAGTATGTTGTGTTTCTATGAAAAAATGTCAAGCCAGCGTACTATAATATTTCTTCCTTTCTTTTTTTTCCCCAAAAGAAAGCATTTAAACTAATGTAGTTACTCCTTTGCATGCCTATCATACACACGTGTTGAGGCTGTACTTGCTCCAACCACAGGAAATTCTGAATGCAAAGATCCCATAGCAAAACCTGGCCATGTTTATGTTATAGTTTTAGGCATAAACATAAACTAAACAGCCGTATCAGTCTATGGTATGAAAAATATGCGATACGGCTGAGCACCATGTGGTATGTCAGTCCTGCATTTTTTTAATCACTTAATTATGAATTCTAAATTGCTTCAGTGCTGTATCATTGACACAGGTTGTTAACATAAGACCAGAAAAAAAAGAAGAAAAAGGGCAAAAAGGGCAGAGGATAGCAAGGGAAAGGAGCCAAGTTAAACTCTCCCAAGTCCTCTCCCCCAGCTCAGGAGTCTGGACAGCGAATTACAGTGGCTCCCAGCCCACAGGGAGCGCACGAGAGGTATCAGCTCCCTCCTCGCCCCCCAGGATCCCTGGCACGGCCGAACCCATCGGGCCCCCAAGGCTGGCTTGGGGTGATCATGCCCAAAGTTTGCACTGCTGCCTGCTTAGGGCTTTTCCCTTTCCTATTTGCATCAGCTTTTCCTGGGCAGACTGCAAGCCACCCAGCGCCAAAAGCACAGCAGGAACTCAGCCAACAGCCAATAAGAGATGATGATATCCCGACAGCATTCCCAGGGAAACACTTCATGGGCTGGAATGAGAGTAATTCAGAAGGACACTGGTCACAAGCCTGCAGCATACTATAGAGGCTTTTCCAAAACGGGTCAGTTTTTCTAGCTCAGACAGCCTTAGCTACTAAGCCAGATGGCCTAGATAACTAACTGGCCTTACTGAAAACACAGTGGACCTGCAAACCGTGGGGGATGCAACTTCAAAAAATGCAGGAATTTTGCTACTTGGTGCATCCCCAAGTGCACAGCACCTTTCCCACTCGGTTCCTCTTTCTAGTTTCAGTTCTCAACCCCCTGTACCACTTTGTGGGACCCAGACCACAGGCATGCCCTTTCCTTCAGCAGCAACCTGTTGCATATTCAAAGACCTCTCTCTCTCTCTTTCAGTTTTCCTCTTCTCTAGACTAACCAGTCCCGGATCTTTGGGGTTTTTTTTTCCTGACAGGACCTCTTATTTTTGTTTTTGCTCCCAATGCTTTTCAAACTGTCAGCATCTTTCTGGAAGCACACTGCTGTTTTGAACACAGTATGCAAGCTGAGGACCGTATCAGTAAAGAGTGTTATGAAATGATAACATTGTGTGTGTGTATATATATAAATATATATATGAGCAATAATATCATATGTATATTGTTCTGAGAAAAACAGTAACAGTATAATTCACATTCAGGTGTTACAAATTAGCTCAGACCTTTCTTCAGAGAAGAATTAACAATTTAAAATGTCAGTAGGGGAATTTGTGTAATTTCAGTTGGTAACACACAAGAACTTCACCTGTTTTCTGCTGCACAAGCCCTACTCAAGTCCATTTGCTAGCTAGCAACAGTATAATAGATGCATAAACAAACCTGATTTAAGAAGAATTAAGTTTGTAAGAGATTTGTAATAATTCTTCAAGCCTTATCTTTTAAGCATTTCAGGGATTCTTGTGTCAAACTGTCTAGACACAATATACCAAACTCAGAAGGAACAGCAAAAAGTCTTTGCCGGATTCCTGCCTTTTGGGTGGGGGATGGATAAGAGTGAGGCCTGGCAAGAGTTAACACTACCCACGGTTTCTCCTCTCAAGGCTGTATAAAATGATTTGAGAGTACTTTGTTATCTGAAGTTGTGTGTTTCCAAACTCTGCAACCGTCTTAAGACCGCTGGCTACGCTGCAGCTTGCTGAAAACACAGCACGCGGGAAAAACCCACAGAGAGCTACAGAGAGCGGGGGGATCCCGTGTCTGCCGGGAGATTCTGCTTTACCAGATTCCCAGTATTGCATTTGTTCATTTGATCTGTGGGGGTGCAGAGTCCCCTGCTCTTCACAGGGCTTTGAAACGGTTCGCCCCACTAAAGCCTGGGAGCGTTTTCCAGCTCTGCCATCCCAGCTTGTGCAGCTGCAGGGCAGGAGGGTCCTGTTACCACCGTGATCATCACTAACACTTGCAGTAGATTTAGTGCAAGATGCAAATACACCTATGTGGGGTACCCGGGTCTGGGGAGTATAGCCAGTCCAGGGAGTATAGCCCTGTAATTAGCTACAATTACTATCTACCCAAAGATCAATTAGCTGGATATTGTTGCTTTGAAGTCAGGCATTTCGAGTCCTTGTAGACATGAGTAAAATTACGATAACATAGCTGCCTTGCCACACAGTAATTCACCATCACATTACCGGCCTGAAACAACCAGTTACATGTTTAGTAGCTTTTCCGACAGAAGCTGCTGTAACACTGGTCTTCACATTCACACCTCACAGCCCATCAGCATGATATGGTTGGGTATTTTAGCTCGCAGCGAGTGAGGTCCCAACTTATGATCACGGAAGTCTGTGCTCCTTCAGAGGAAACCTCGTGTACACAGGGGCTGTCGTTATCCAGAGGTCAGCTTTGGTAGAAAATAACGCAAGTTTCTGGCAACCTGATTTCCACTTACTGTTTTGCCAATCAGCAGAAAATGAGGTAAATCCGCAGATGCTGGTTTTGGCACACTCCTGTTAACTGCAGCCTCTGCAAAACCAGAGGTACCCCCCCCCGGGGGGCCCCAGGGCACCCTCTCCCTTTGGCCCCCCTGACCCCAGCATCTTGCCGGGGACGATTTCACATCCCCCTTACTGCAAAGAGCATTCTGCTGGACAAATGCTCCTGAAGTTAGCTTATCCCTGACTGAGGATGAGAAGGGCACCGCTGAGCAAGCCAGTGCCTAGTTTTTCTCTGGGGAAAACCAGTTTCCTTGATGATGATAGCGATGATGGTGATGATGATGATTAACCCTTCCCCTCTGGCCGCAACCCTGCTTGTGCAAGGGCAGCTATTCGCTGAAGTTGTGCCTCAGACAAGGAGCTGAAGTGCCTCCACGCTCGGAGCGAGGAGGGGTGCA